AGTAATTCAGGCGGATGGGGAGTTAGATGCGGATGTTGGACATCGGGTTGGAGTGGCTTGGGCCAAATGGCGGTTAGCTTCAGGGGTGTTGTGTGATCCGAAGATTTCGCCTAGAATGAAAGGTAAGTTCTATCGATCCGTAGTCAGACCTGCTATGTTATATGGGGCAGAGTGTTGGGCGGTTAAGAAGACTCATGTGCGTCGTCTGCATGCGGCGGAGATGCGGATGTTACGATGGATGTGCGGGAAGACAAGGTTGGATAGGATTTCGAATGAGGTTATCCGACGTCAAGTAGGTATGGCACCGGTGGAAGACAAGTTGCGAGAAGCGAGGTTGAGGTGGCTTGGCCATGTGAGACGGCGGGATGCTGACGCCCCTGTACGGAGATGCGAGAGGATTACAGTTATCGGGGGAAGTAGGGGAAGGGGTAGACCTAAGAAGAATTGGGAGGAGGTGATAAGACAGGATTTAGGACTTCTCGACCTGACTGAGGATATGGCCCTAGATAAGAACCTTTGGAGAACTAGGATTAGAGTAGCTGGATAGGAGCTCGATGTTGTAGAGGTTGTTTTGTAGTGTGTTGTATTTGTTGGGAATCTTTTGCTATTGTTTGTACTTGTTGCTTGTACTTAGTGCCTTATCTGTGCTATACTGTGTTCTCTTCCATATTTTTGTGCAGGTGGAGCCGGGAGTCTCTTGGAAACAGCCTCCCTACTTCCGAGTAGGGGCAAGGTCTGCGTACACACACCCTCCCCAGTGTTGTGGGATTCAACTGGGTTGTTGTTGTTGTTGTTGTGTGTGTGTGTGTGTGTGTGTGTGTGTGTGTGTGTATATATATATATATATATATATATATATATATATATATATATATATATATATATATATATATATATATATATATATATATTTTGGTTCAAGTGAGAATGCGATCTTATGAAAGAAATAAGAATGAATATGGTGTTTTAGATTGTGAGATCTAAGGGTCAGGATTGCATCAAATTTAGGTGCACCAAAATGATTTAAAAATGCATCATGTCGAAATGCACCAAAATCCTTTAAAAATGCACTATCTCAAAATCTGAGTGCAGGATGCAATCTGAGCCGCACGATGCATCAGATCCAAGGGCTCGATTTTATTCTTATTTCGTTCACCAAGGTGCATTCTCACCTGAACCGCCCCCTATATATATATATACACACACTTCAAATAATTTGTGATTTTAAGTTAATACTCTGAAATTGAATAATTTGCACCACTGCTCCCAGAAATTACTTAATTATACATCAATACTTCAGGTTACCAACTAAGCTGAATACATGAGATTTTAAATGGTAACAAGATGATTATCTAGTATGAGTTGATAATTAATTACAAAAATAAAGAAGAGACATTAAATGAGTTGTAAATACCCCCTCTATGACGATTTGAAATAAAAATGTCTTAAAACGAAAAAAATAAAGTGTTTATATTTTAATCGGATAAATTATGAAAACTATTTTAGATAAAAAAATTAGAGAAATTTTAAAGTTTATATAGTCCAAAATTTATATTTTAAAAATCTTTCCAATGAATATTAATTTGATTATAAAGTATGTACTTCAAAATTCTTTATTTTGTCTGAAACATTATTTTAATTTATTTCTTATCACTCATAACTACCAACACATACTTAATAATTTACGGTCATTACTTAAAATGCAACGTATTTTGCTTAGTTGGAAGCTCAAAAAATATTGGTATAAAATTAAACAATTTCTAGAAACAACGGTGTAAATTATTATTCAATTTTGCAATATTAACGTAAAATCACACATTTCTTGGAGTATTTGTGCAGATTTATTCTTTATTTTATTCTCTAATTGGAATCCATATACACCCTAGTCTCACCAATAAAAGTTAAATGTTCATTCATTTTGTTACCTACACTATGTTCAATTCAAAAAAAAAAATAAAGGAAAAATTAAAAGAATGATGCGAGGAATGATTTTTCTTCTTTGGTTTGAGAAGAAAGAGAGAAAAGTTGGAAAAAAAACGAGAAAAAAAGAAAAGAAAAACAACTTTCCGCCGTGCTGGTGACTGGTGAGGTAAAGGTGTGATCATGAGCTTTTTCTTGTTTTGGAACAAACTCCAAAGGAAAATCAGAATTCATTTTGGGAGTTTTCCCACCGCGTGAACCGCTCGACCGTGGCCGAGAGCATACCTGGAACCAACACCGACGCCACGCGCCAAAGGACTTTGTAGCATGAGATAAGCGACCCGGCGGTACAGAGCCTTGCTTCCTCCGAAAAGAGGAAAGAAGAAATGTATATTCAATGTTGTTATGTATCAGCCATTCAGGGCCTTATTTAAGAAAAAATCGTTTGTTTATGGTTAGGGCTACTCTGCCGGACGAGAAGCATGCAGGCTAGGGCATGCGGCGTTTCCAGCTCCTTAGGGTCCCAAAAAGGTAAACTACTTCTGGGGACTTGGACATATTTTTCCAATGAAAAACCCCACTAAGGACGAGACCAACCCCATAAGTCCAACCAAACGAGAGAGACTGTTATGGAACATTTGTTAACTTGGCTTGATTGAGACTCGGCGAATGAGAGAGCGTGGTCGGCCAGCGGCCAAGACCCCTCATTCTTAGGAACGTAAGCTTTCACAGCTTTTTAGAGTCCCACGAAGGTAAACTACCTCAGAGAACTTGGACGTATTTTTTCAATGAGAAACCCTCCTAAGAACGAGGACACTCCTTAACTTGGTTTAGTTGAAACTCGGCGAATGAGGAAGCGCAATCGGCCACCGGCAAAGACCCCCTCATTCAAAACCCGACCCATTCACAATCTGCTCCCTCTATTAACATCCAAATAAACCCAAATAGGAGGGCAACACGCTGGCACCGTTCCTCCCTCCGATGTTTGGCCAGGGGACTCACTGGCTAGCAATGTACCAACGATACATCACCGAACTCCGGCCGGGAGAGGAAGGATCATAGCACAATAGGATGGCAATTACAAGAAATAAAGAAAACACAAGCGCAATGGGTTAAAAAAAACATATTATTAATCTCAATTCATACATTTAACTTGGTTTCGTTGAGACTCGGCGGATGAGAGAGCGCAATCGGCCACCGACCAAGACCCCCTCATTAAAAACCCAACCCAAGTAGGGCAGGCGCAGGGACGAGGACAATCTGCTCCCTCTGTTAACATTCAAATAAATCTAAATAGGAGGGCAACGCAGTGGCGCCGTTCCTCCCGTCCGAATTTCGGACAGGGGACTCACCGACTAGCAATGTACCAACGATACATAACCGAACTCTGGCCGGAAGATTAAGGACCATAGCACAAAAATATGGCAATTACAAGAAATGAAGATACCACAAGCGCAATGGGATAAAAGAAGCGTTTTATTAATCTCAACGAGCTTGGGGGACTAAGCGAAGACTAGTTTGTGCTCATCTCCCTCAGCTCCAGACAACAAACTTGGGGAACTAAGCAAAGACTAGTTTGTGCTCGTGTCCCTCGGCTCCGGACAACGAGTTTGGGGGATTGAGCAAAGGCTAGTTTGTTCTCTTCCCTGCACTCTAGACAACAAGTTTTGGGAGATTCAAAATCTTGTCATCAAAGACCTCACACTCTAATACTATGTTTGGTTCAAGGAATTAGGACTGAAAAGAAAAGAAAATGATTTTCTCTCATTTTCCTCACCAAAATGGAAGGAATTTGGTTTTCCCTCCACTTGGTACATTTTGTAGTAGGGCAAGGTTGTGATTTTGTTAGCCTGATTGGTTTGCGTATTTACTTCCTCTCACCTTGAGTTCCTCTCGCCTTGGGAAGTGAGGGACTCGTGATGGAGATATTGGGCCTAGAACCAGGGCCTACATTGTATGGGCTTGGAAGGAGCATGCAAGGCCCATAAGCTAGTGAAGGTAAGGCTCTAAGCTCGGCCTCGTCCATCTCAAGCTCGACCTCATCTCTCACAGGCTCTGCAGTCGGGCTCATTAACATCAGGCCCTAAGGGAGTAAGGGAGAAGGATTCAAGCTCGGCCATCATGGGCACATGCACTAAGGGTCAGGCTCGGGCATAAGCACAACAAGGTGTGCTCGGCCATTGGGCCAGCTCAACACCAATCAGCTCCCAGTGGTCCACCCCTTGGGAACAACAAACCGACCCCTGCCACGGGAACATTCCTCGATTCTAATGAGAACGTAATTAATGAACCCATGTGTTGTAACCTAAGGTAGTTGGACTACAACTCATTACTTCTACTGTATAAATAGACCTCCCCATTCAACATGGAGGGTGATTTGATCGGATTCAGAGTTCACTAATACGTATTACAAACTTTCTCTCTCTATTGTTTCTACTACCCCCATCCTTAGAATCCATCAAAGGTCGATTTTAAATTTTTTTTACTACAAATTATAAAAAAATTACATTGAATCTTGAGATAAATTTAATATCAATAAGTTTATTTTGAAACATAATTATAAAATATTACATTTTTTATTTTAGATATCTAACTATAAATAAAAATATTGATGGTCAAAATGTTACATTGAAGACCGTGAAAAATCAATTAAAAAATTTAAAAGAGAAAGAAGAAGTAAAATTTATATAAGGAGTATTAAAAAAAACTTTAATTCTTCTACACAACAAAGGATGATAACTTTTTTTAATCTATAAAAAATCAAGGAAAATAGGTAAAGAAAGAATGTATAATTTGACCATTCAATAATAAATGGAAAGATTATTTAGGGACAGAGAAGTAGTTTATTACAACTCAATTTATAATGTTTTTCTAGAAAAATAAATTCACCATTGCGTTTTGTCAAAAATACAACCAAATAATATACATTTCAAGTAAGGATGCAAAAACATATTGGTACGCCAAACTTTTCAAATTTGTTGAGTATTTTTTTCAAAGTAAAATATTTTTTAGGAACCTGTAAAACAGTAAAACACTAAGGTATGATTTGGATTTAGCATGACATGGTATCATCTCATTTTGAAACGATATGGCAACGAATGATTTTAGTCGCAAACACAATTGTATCTAACCGTTAGAATAGTTACGATAAGGTGCAAGTATGAAAAATAACGGACCGGATATTGATTGCTACTTGTCTTAACCATTCTTATAACAATGTTATGAAAACCGGATTCGATGTCGAAGTGAAGAAGCAACTGAATCGAGAGTTAATCGGTTGAACTAGGTGCAATGTTTATGTTTGCTTGTTCATAAATAACAATAATAATATCTGTTCATATGTACTTTCTTAACCTACTGAAGTACGTAGAGTCAACGCCTATAACAAGGATTGGCTTTAGGGAAAATGAGACCTTAACTTGTCGAACAGGGCCAATATGTTTCCTGTTTTCCGACCGAAGTTGGAAAACAGAAATGGTAAACAGTTGGTTTCCCATTTTCCAAAACAGAAAAGTTTTCTAATTTAGTAATTAGATCCACATTAAATTTCAGTTATCATTTACCTATTAAATTTGCAAGAAATTTATTGGGGCCATCACATTTCCACAAGAGTGAATCATAAGAAAGAAGCAGAAGATCACCTTGTTTTGGAGGCCGACTTTGCTAAAACTAAAGTGTGCCACGAAACAGACACATCAAGACTGTTGAGTGTTGGACACCAAGCCTTTTAATGCAGGCATCAAAGTCTCAAGAAGCTCCCTTTTGCTCATAATTCTATCTGATGAACAATCTCCTTCCTTTTGACATGCAAAGTCCAAAGGCATAATAACACAGTAAATAAAAGGGAGTTATACTTTATTAAAACTTAAAAGCTAATCCCAATGAGGGGACGTGGTTCCAGTTTGCAACCGAAACCGGAACTTTATACTCCATCAGTCTCCAAATCATTTACACTTTTGGATGTCTGAAAATTTATTTTACGTTTTTCCCCTTTCGATTTTAGGAAATAAATATGTGGACAACTTTATTTATCTCTTTCAAATAAATTTCAACCAAACACTTTAATTTTGATTACATGAAGTGAAAGTATCAAGTTGATTTGGACATGAAGGGAGCATAAGGATTTGATTCTGGTTCCAACAAATGTAGGACTGTACCTATAAAACTTTAGCGTAAAATGACCAAAGCACCAGAGCCGTGTGCAAAGGTTCTGGTTAAAGCTTTAGGGTTTCCTAAACCGGAACCGAACCGAACCGTGTCCACCTTTGTCTGACTCTCGTCCATATAACGACCTTGACAAGAATAATGCAAAAAAAGGAAGAAATAAACTCACATCACCAGCTGCAGCAGACATTAGTGTCAAAAGGCTCCATGTTGTGCTCTGGTAATCTGTAAGTGTCTTGAATGCAGCATCATCCAGCTTATCCTAAAAGAATAGATTGTTAAAGCAAAAAAGAAAAAAAAACGACTTTGTTTCTCAACTACCAAACAAAACATCCTTAGAAAAGACAAGATGCATATGGCAATGGAAATTTGGTAATGTCAAGAATGTCACAGGACAACAACCTTTAACCGTGTTACAGCAGCATAAATTGCCCTGCCCGGAGCCTGAAGAGCTTTTGCATGGACCTGTGACCCACAGTGAAGGTTATAACCGACTTAAATTTAAGGTTGAAGAAGGAAGTAGATATTAGCCAGATATTAAACCAGATTGACCAGGGAAGGACCTACCTGTACATAAAGTAGAGAAACTACTTTTGGTAAGAGGGAAACTGCATCAGTTTCAGCAGCGACTTGAGATGTCAGGTCCTGAATGAACAACACACATTTGAGAGGCCAACAGAACTAGATAGATCCAATTTGACCAGAAGAACAAACACTTCAACAAAAATATGAGCAGAACCTACAATTTTACCATTCTACTCAGCAAGAATATTATTAGTTTTACTGTCCTAATGAACAAAGACTTATTATGAAGTCATCATCAAAGTCAAGCCTCGGAAAACCACTATGTTGGTTTACATCAAAACACCTCATTTCAAAAAACCTCATTCACTTCAAATTGCAAAAACTAATTCATTCTACTTTTTGTTAATAAAAATTTTTAAGTTAGGAAACTGAATTCCAAATCAAACACAATAATTAGGAACTCGGTATAGCAGATAAATACACAAAGGAGAAAAGCATGAGGGAAATTGCCCTACACTGGTAGTAGAAAAAAGATCCAGTGATACCTTACGATATGAAAATAAAAGGGCCTTCTCCAATTTCTTATCCAGTTTCTTCAAAATCAATCCGCTGCAAACAACATGCCCACCCATTCATTTCAACAGTAAAGATACAAAACCTACATATGGATAAACAATGGATAAAAGCCTCAACTGCTACCTTTCATCTGCCAGATCTCTTACTGCTGTCATGAACACTTCTACCCGCTGTCAAGCACAATAATATTGTTAACATCAGCCAGTATGAATAACACATATTCAGAGATATTTGTAATGTATAATACTCCCTCTGTCCTTAAATAAAGTTCAATTTTCAGTTTATGATGTTCGACTAATGTTTATTCAGGGACAGAGGGAGTATTTAGGGGTATGTGGAATATCCAAATAAACAGCAGAAAAGAGATACAAAACCAATCAGGTTCGAAAGTAAAATACTGTTAAAGTCAAGTTTATAGTCCCTTTATTATTATTATTAGTATTATTATTATTAACAAAAACAGGTAAATTCCTGGGTACGGATTAATTCATTGTGCCCTCAAATAGACTACCACAATTTGCAGAAATGCAGGTAATTTGGATTTAAATAACAAAAACATAAAATCCCATTAATTGACATTATTGACTAAAAGATGCTGGTATGTTATGATGCAAGCAGAAAAATGTTGGGGCCTGAAAACACTGACCTTCCCTTCTAATGTGTCAAGTAGAGTAACGGCCTTGTCTGACAAGGGTCTGCCGAGGCTCTTGGCCTAGGAAGAAAACAAATTACTACTGGAAATCCAATACTGGAAGTAACAAACAGTATGGGAAGAGTAATTGACAAATCATTACAAGAGCATTTCTATCGACAGAACTAAGTGAAGCAGGTTCAGGATTTTGAAACTCTTCCACTTCAATTCCACTTTTCAACTTATTGTGCAAATCCTGCATTTATACAACTTGCAATGTAAGACATATAGTCAATTATATCTGTGGCACTTTCATGAACAATCCACATAAATGAAAAGAGAGGACAAAAATAACTGTTTACATAACATACCAGGATAAAAATCAAAGTATCCACAATATCGGTCCCTGTAGTTCGCAATAAATGTTTGTGTAGAAGAACCTGCACATAGAAAGGGGATGCTCGACCCATATGCATGAAAAATTTCAACCTAGTTAACATGTGCAGTTTTAACAACTTACTGAGGTTGATTGCTCATCTTCAAACAAATCCAGTGCTTTTACATAAAGTTGCATATTCAAAAAAGACTGGAAAGGAAACAATAGAATCCCAATCAGATGGCAATTATGATTGTTCAATAACAGTGATGGCTATAAAATATTTCCCTCACGCCAGCATAGGAATTTCAGCCAGCATGGAAATGTACTGAAATAAACAATTCCATTGTTATATTCAATAGCTAACACACAAGAGACAATAGCTAATTACCTCATCAAGTTTCCGCTGCAAGTTATCAAGTACTTTTTTCAATTTTTGTGCATTTTCAGTATATGCGGCCCTTCTTCTTTCCTTCCATGAATTAAGAAGCAGTGGTCTTAGGTGGCTTGATAAAGGCTCAAGAACAGTCTCGGGATCATCTAAAGAGAGTTGAACTTAATTATTATTTTTTAAAGTAGGGAGGTTTCTCTCGTCAACTGATATATTCAGAAAAAACTGATATAATAATAGCACAGTACACACCTTGTTCCTCAAGGTCAGGATTTAGAGAAACAATTTTTTGAGTAATCCATTCTTCTGAAATAAGGTAAGAAGGATCGTCTTCCTTGTTGGCATTTGGTTTTGATGAAGCCTCTTGTGAGGTAGATGAACCCTTGCCTTTCTTTTGGTTTTTCTTGGATTTAGATGGAGCAGAATCCATATCTAAGCCAGCTTCAGCAACCCCTGGACGAGAATTTCCAGCGGATTTTCCTTTTTTCTTCTTGGATCCTTTCTCCAAAACTAGTTTATTACTGCCACCATTATTGCTGGTCTCACTGAACTCTGCCACCTTACTGGTAGTACCTTTACTGGCATGTATTTCATTTAAACCAGAACTAGTCCGCATAGAAAGTTCTAAAGAATCCAGCTCTTTTTCTATACTGTCAAATAGACCCTATCAAGTATAGTTAAAAAAGCAAACAAATAGCACAAGAGCTTTAAAAAGATTATACAAACTAAAGTTCATAATCTGTCAGTTGCAATATCAAAGTAAATTGCCAACAGTATTCAATATAGAATAGTAATGATTTGTAAACTCTACCTTAACAAAGCCACTGCTGAAAACATATGACTCCCCCAAGACAAGTGCCTTATTCGACTGATAATCAAGAGAAAAAAGACACTAAGAAATGTGCCTATGGTAAAGAACAATACACCACGTTTCTTTTGACACCCATGACCTTGGTCCGAGGCAGGTCCTCCCCCTCCCCACCACAAACTCAACCTCTCAGCCCCCAGTATTTTGCCAAAATGCTACAGTACGAAGTGCGTGTGTTTGGGGTGGGATCCGGTCCTGGACCCAACGGAGCACCATAGGGCCTTCAAATGGCTCAGTGTCATATTATGATATGATGCTAAGGACCGGTGTCAAAAGAACCAAGCCCAGAAATATAAGGTTAGCTCCAGAATCCAAAGTAACATGAGATCACCTTAAGGGCTGTTTGAACAGATGGACAGAGCGATAGGATCATGGATGCATCTTGGGAACCAAAGGATGCCGGCAACACTGAAAGTGAGTTAATCCTGCGATATCCAAATAATTACAAAAACAAAAATGTTTCTCTTTTCCCACCCTATTCAAACACCATAATAGTTTTTCATCTAACATATATATAGCATCTGAATCAGAATTGTAGGAATGCAGCAGCTTGCAACAAAGTTCTTAGTCTATAACATGGATGGGCAAGAAAGTGTTGAGCCACTAACAGTGAAATACAGATACACACCAACTTAAATCATGGAATTACACACATTTAACCTGTACTGCAACAGATCTTCTTAATTTTTAGTAGCTACACGTTTTTTGGGAATAGAAAATAACTCAAAATCATCAATGAGACTATGATGATGGTGGTTATAAATTTTTTATCCAATTATTCTTTCTTAATAAGGTAGTGATAAGGATATCTGTCTAAAAACATTGCCACTATGCTTTTTTTTGCATGAGTTTAAAGCTTTAAGGAACTTTATACAAATAATTAGCACTATAACTTTAATGCCATCAACCCCAACTAGTAAGGATTTAGGTGTCGATAATGATGATGATGGCCTATCAGATTTTTTATATTTAACTCTTGTCCCCCAAGGAACTTCCCATTTACTTTTTCAATGAGTGATAGAAAAGGTGAAATTGCGCGGTTGAGATGTATGCAGAGAGAAATGATTTGAGCCACACAAGTCTTTCCTTGAAAAAAAATGGAACTGATTTTGGGACGTCCCAAAAAAAAGAAGTGAAAAGTTCTTTGAGGGACAGAAGAGTATCTCTATTCTCTAGTACACAATACAATAAAAATTGTATTGAAGTTTATAGTACAAGGTCGTAATATTTAGCTCAACACCTGAAGGGCAAAATGAAAGCCTGCTAGCAACTAACTGCTCCATGACCCCATACAATAATAAATAAATATAAAAAGTGAATGCAAGCTTCTCACCAACTACTACGTTCCATGGCATCCTCTACAGAAGCATCCAACATTCCAATTATTGATGGGTGAGCAAATATCATGACTAAAGGCACGCCTTCAGGATACCTAGACTAATAGGAGTGTAGATTGAACCACCGATATTAATGCAGTAAATATCCATTTGTAAGATACACATAAACAACAAAGAATTTCATCATCCTTATGAACACTTTAGAGGTTTAAATTTTTTAAAAACAAACAGCCAGCATGATGATACCTGCAGGAAATGGATGGGCTGTGGGATTCCGAGTTTCTGCAGAGCTTCATAACTAATAAATGTGTTCTGGGTTATCAAAGGCCAAGAATTAGCAGCAATGAAACATAACTTAAGGGAAACACAATATAAAAAGTAGAGATACCATCAGAAACTGGAAATTCTGGCTTTCCAATAATTTTATTTATTATAGTATCCAAATTTGCATATTATTTGGCGGGATATCAGTTTACAACTTCAAATAAGACATTAAGACTTCCATTAGGATTTAAGATGATATCATAATACCCATAGAAACTAATGGTATTAACCAGAATTTAAATGATCCTGGAATGAGAGAGTGTCTTCATGGGGTCCAACAATTCAGTAGTTATTCATGGGACTGATTAGAGTGGCACTGCCAGGGGAAGAGTGGGACTGTGACTTTCACTCCACAAATTTCCTAGATTTCCCTCAAATCCCAAGCAACTCACTTGAGTCATCATCATAGACGACAACTTAATCCCAATTGATTGGAGTCAAGGGATTTATAGTGTGAATTAAAATATTGCAAACAATCATTTTCGTATTTATTTGTTGGTAAGTTGTATGATCAAATGTAAATAATAAGAACAAAAGAAATATACACACACTCCCCCATGTCCCATTTATTTGAGTTAATACAACATGATTCTCCTCTTGATTCATGTAGCCGAACCCAAGTTACTTGTGACAAGGCTTTGATGTTGTTATAGACTTATAGATTACGATGTTTAAATAAAGATACTTGCCATTTAACTTTTAACGATATTGAATTAAATTTGATATTAGTAAATGAAAAATTTACATAAATAAAAGTGCACAAAAAACAAAATCTAATAAATGATTGTTAAATAAAATAGTCAAAGAAAGAAGAAATAGTTCGACCACATGAATAGCTATAAGGGACAGAGTAATGGGCACAGGGCGGATTATTCTTATTTCATTACAGATAATTGATAACGATGATAAAAAAATATCTAAGTGATTTCCAATTGAACTACATAGTATTTGCAAAAGGATAAGCAAATGCGGATTAAATCAAAACAGCAGTAATGAGAAAATAAACATATCAATAATCAATGACACCAAGTTTTTGTTCGGATATTTCACTCCACACTCCTGCACCTCGGGATTTCATCCCGAAGATTAACCACTTTAGTCCATGAAGCAAACACGTCATAAATTATTTCAATCTTCAAATTTCCTAATTCTTTTACAAACCTTCTGTTACCAGAACTCTCTGACCATAATAAATGAGTATTATATGGATTGAAATTGGACAAGAAATTCAGATGAAGCAGCAATATGTAAAAGGATAGAAACCTGTGAAAAGAAAGAGTCCACCCACTCCCTTTGAGCCATAGCAAAAACCTGTAAGGTTTGCTGGAAACTCAATTAAAGTGCAAGAACAAAAATGCAAGTACTGTATACAATAACAATTAACATCATAAAACCATTTCAAATTCAACGGATATATTAACAACACATACAGAAGGAGTCCAATGAACACCAGCACGAAGTGTACCCAGAATGTCTCCTTCTTTGACTAGTCCATTAAATAATGATTGGAAGAATGAGCTTTCAACAGCTACACTGCCCGCTCCATCAACTTCTTGTAGTAAATTTTGCAAAGAGCTCCATAAAACTGACAAATTTGTTGGAACAAAAATACCCCTCGCAGCACCACGAACCATTGCATTCACACGTGACACATATGCTGGTGTATACAACTGGCCTCCTTCAAGTCTACCTTTCACCTACACACAACAACAACAACAACAACAAATTAAATCACACAAACCAGTATAGCCAAATGATGCTATTATCTGAAAAGAGAATGATACCAGAGTCCCAAGTCGAGGCTCAATAATGGACAATACAAGTTCTGATCCAACTTGCAATTGGGCTGCTATTTCAGCAATGGTGATTTGACTGCACTCTTGCAGTTTTTCATTAATTTCCTCAGCAACAGTGTCCCAATAAGAATTTGAGATTATTTCGCCATTGATCAACATCAGTGACGAGTCGTTGGAAACCACCTGCTGTGATTGTTTCTCTACATGGTACAGGTCCATTCCTAAGGTGCTCGCCAAGTCAATCAAAGAAACACGCCCCAATTCCTTAATTTTCCCAACTATTTCATTTCTCAAATGCTCCTAGCATCAGAACAGTTTCAAATCAGAATCATAACGGATCATTTCCATTCATCTCAACTATTATATGAATAATAACAATCAACTTTCAGAATATACGCATATGCATAAGCGTACAGGAGTGATGAATTCTTTTCCGGAGACGGTGTAGAGGAGGTCGAATTCGAGGATTTGGAGGTGCTGAAGCTTCTGAACTAATTCGACAACATTCCGCTCCGATAAACGCACGGTGGATTTCGCTTGTTGAGCGAACTCGAACTGTCTCTGCAATTCCAGAAGTTCTTCATCCATCGTCTTCCTAGCCAATACCGATGCTCTGTGATTCAATTCACTGTTTTTTTTATGATTCAATTCACTTCACCCTCGAGTCTAGACATGAAGGGTAAATGGTTTTGGTTATTTGAGTTCTTCACGAATATTCTAAATTAACTACTTCTTACCTTATTTCAATTTCAAGATATTTATGAAAAATGTTACTCCGAATAATATAATTTTCCAGAGTAATTGATTCGATTACAATGTAATATATGTTTACATTCTTTTTAAAAATGTACAGTTAGTTAATGAAGTTAGTTAATGAGGAATTTACTTAAATAACACTAAAATATAATGACTTTCCCTAAATAGCACCACATGTTATGTGTTTTTTTCCTAATGTAGCACTTTTAGTCATTATGCATTAGTCATTATTCAAGTAAATATTTGCCATCACATGACATTATGGACATTATTAAGTACTATTTAGGGAATAAAACAATTTAAGTATTATTTAGAGAAATGATTTGAGTTTTAGTGCTATTTAGTGCAAATATTTCTTAGTTAATACTTAAAATTTGTTATCGGAGAATTCTCTAAAAGGGAGTAAAAACCTATGAAAATATCAAAATAAGAGTCATAAGACCAAAAGAAGAATTCACATTGTCATTTTTACACTGACACACACACCACATGGTCACATTGAAACTGTCACTATCATCGTCACACTGCAATCCGTCATCACTAGCCACCAGAATGCCACCGTGGATCGACGACGATTGACTGATCATACTGACATATTACATTGTCATCACGTTTTCATCACACTGCCAAAGTATACTTTTAAACTATACTGTCATTATACTCCTATTTTAGTCATAAAAGACTCAGGACTTTTATTTAGTACTTTCAAACCTTTTTATTCTTATTTAGAGAAATTTCTTATTTGTTACGGAGTATTTATTTGTGACTCTCTTTCTTTGTAAAGAAAATCTCTCAAATAAGACTAAATCATTAAACTTATACCCAAAATAAGAGTACATGATCCACTTTAGTGATGCGCCTCTTTGGACCAATCTATGCTCCTTCTCCGCTCCCTTTCTTAACGACCACCCCCACCATGCGTTTCTCTTTTTATCTCTCTTGCTTCTGGCCACCACCCTCGATCACTATGTGGAAGCACCACCCTCAAATCAACCCCAAGTACAGTATATCAGCGCCACCGCACCAAACGCAGCGGTGACGGTAGCTGTAGGAAATGGAGATCATAACGACAACTTGTGGCATCACCGGCGATGGCTGGGGCGACATCGCTAGTGGAAGTTGGGGTGCCGACGTTGCAGGTGGTGGCATGGTGCAATTGAGCGACCAAACTAGGAGCAAAATAAGACCATTGGGGTAATTAAGGCCCAAACTAGGCCTACCTGCAAATGGAGATGACAGCAGAAAACTATGACATTATGCAGTTCGGGCGGTGGCATCGTCGGCAGCGATTGGGGTGCCGGCGTTGCTGGAGGTGGCATGACATGGTTGAGCGACAACATGGCACAATTATGCGGATAAGAGTGTAAATCGTACTTCTGTCTCGTGTTTAACTATTTTGGAGCTTGCGACTTTAAGGACAAAAAATATTGTGTAATTTAAATCTTTTTTGGTTCAGAATAAATTTCATGAGCTGAAATGAATATGCAACTAATGTGCATCCTCCCCTCTATGGCTGTTTTTTTAATGTTAATGTCTATGGCTTTTAAGATGCCACTTTTATACGATCAATTGGACATTGCACATTTTTATGCTGGATTGTTCGTTCACAAATATAAAACAATCTTCCATCACTATTATTTTTCTCTGTGATAACTTAAACACAATAATAATGCTAAAAATTGAGAAAAGAGCTGAGATCAGCGGAAAGGGAGGGCATGAGAAGATTAATTAGATTAATTATTTTAATTACTTCTACTTAAGGGAGGTTAAGTTTCAACTATTACTTTAGGGATATAATTAACATATGTTTTACTTCTAATTTGGTCATTTTTCCTTCTTTGTATTGTTTGTTTCCTTATTTTGCCATATTGCAATGTACGTGAGACCATGAGTCCATGACATCCTTTCTAGTTAGAGCATGTAATATATAAATATCCAACTTCGGTAGCAAGGTATCAATTCATTCTTGCCAAGATCCTGCTTGACCCAACTGTATAGTCATGACCCAACTAGTTTTGTCAAGTTTGGATCGACAAAATTGGTTATGACATTTATTTTTAAATATTTTAAACTCATATTAACACTTGTATTTGGCATTGAATAAAAATAAAATATCAAAAAATATGTGTTAGATCTATTAAATTATTTTATTATGAACTTTCATTTTAAGTAAATTTTAGACATATCAATCATTATTATGAATTAAAAAAACTAAATATGCACAAGTTTTGGAAAAGAGTAAGATAAAAAAAATATAATTATAACTTTATTTTTGAAACACTATATTTCATACTCTATTATACTCGCTCCGTCCCTGAAAATCTTTCTTCTTTTTTTTTTTCATCCATCCCTAAAAACACTTCTCATTTCTATTAAAAAGTCACTTTTACCCCTTACTTTTTCATACCCTACCTATCACATCATACTTTTTTACTAATAATCTATCCATCAAATCATACTTTACCCATCACATCAAAGGACACTTTTAAAAATTCAATACCAAAATACACTCCCCTTAACTCCTTCTTCAAAATCAAAACTCCCATGTTTTCCGGGACGGGGAGAATATTAAAGTATAACATTTTGAGAAAACTCTTACATTAGCATGTTGAGTTCGGGTTTGGACAGATTTGACCCATCCAATTTTAGCAGATCATTTTGTATTTGACCAACAAAACTTTTATTTAAATCTCAGTGTTTTTAGATTGGTCTCAAGTTAAAAATAAGTTAAAAATAGATCAAGTGATTTTTACGAGGTATACACATAATATATACTCCGTACGTGATACGTCTATTAATTGTTATAGACCCATTTTTAAAATTTGACTATTTGATCCTTTACCACATTAATATACATGTGATGAGCTGCTCGATTTCTTCTTTTACATAATGGTTGGTGATAGGCTGATAGTGTGCTGTGTTGATGTACTGTGGGACTGTCCCGCAGCGAGGTACGGAGTAATTAGGGAGGGTAATTAATCCTAATTATCATCTTATGGTCCTAGATAATTTAAGGATACAATAATCGTGAATATTTATAAGTTTTGATTTTTTACATACAACCAGACCTGATTTTTAACCTATAATTAAGTATCTAATAAAACTTTTCTTGCATTAATACCCAATATTATTTTCGTATATGAATATTTGTCAAATTTTAACTTTTTACATGCAGTCAATCAGCAGAAAATTACTCGCGGGTGACGCGAGTTTTGTGGAAATAACTTTCAGGTCATTCTATTTTCAAAAAGACAACCAAGGTCCTTATATTTTGTTATAATGACTGGAAGGGGACATTTCATCCAATACATCATCCGTAAGTGTTAATACTTACAAACCATTTTGAATTTTTATACGATTTTATAGAAGAAATTCTAAAATAACATTTAAAAAAATAGTAACAAAATGAAAGAAAAACAAAGAAATAAAAAAGGAGCGACCTAAGATTTATTACCTTAAAACATTTAGAAAAGAATAGGAAAAAAATACATTTATTAACGTTTATAGATGAAATATTGGATGAAATGTCCCCTTCCAGTCATTACAACAAAATGTAAGGACCTCTGCTGTCTTTTTGAAAATAGAGGGACCTGAGAGTTATTTCAACAAAACTCGCGTCACCCGCGAGTAATTTTCTGGTCAATCAATGTCAAACTTTGACATATAATTTAAATACTCCCTTCGTCCTAAAATGATCTTTCCAGTCCGGTTTACGAGGTTTGACTGAAATTATTTTCAATTCAATTTATTTGATAATAGGTGTAAAATTAAAAAAATGAAAATTATATATTTTAAAACTACATCAAAAATTTTACAAAACAGGAGATGACATGACTATATTATTTTATCAAATAACTAAAAAAAATAAGTAAAGAAAGTGATTAAAGTTTCACCATGTGAATAGTGACCGAGAAGATCATTTTTAGGACATATGGATTAAAATATATAATATATATTTTATATTAATTAGATAAAATAATATTTTGAAAATATTTTAATAAATAAATCTAATAAAACTATTTTTATATTAATATCGAATTCAATTTTTAATTAATTTGTGGTCAGTGTTTACCAATTTTGACAAAAAAAATCAAAGTAGATAAATAATCAAGAACCTAACGGAGGGAGTACAAAGTATAAGTTTTATTTAATAAATGTCAAAATTTATTAATTTTGATTATAAAAAAAGTTAAAGAAACCATTCTAAATAGGAGAAAAAAAAGTACCAAAATATGAGTACCATATTTTTATTCTCTAAATATGAGTTCACATTGTGGTAATGTGGCACTGTACACGTTTATTTTACGTAATGTAATGGTCATAATTGGTAATGTACATGCATTTTAACTACCATTTTGAAAATAAAAACATGAAACTCCTATTTTGTATATTTTCAATTCAATGTATAACTCATACTTTAGTCTTTTCCCCAAAAAGTTAAACCTAGAAAAATATATTCTGAGATGAAAATATAGTGTTACTGTGTTAGTTAATATTAGAATATACTACCTCCGTCTCGTTGTATTTGTCTAGTTTGACTTTTTCGAGTCAAACTGGAAAAACTTTGAACTTCAATTACTCTCAATTTATATTGCATATTAGCATAATGAAATACAATTTAATTTGAAAGTTCTCAACATGATAAATTCAATAAAGTCATTTTTATGTTAAAAATATATTACGGTTCTTATTTAATTGAAGTTTAAAGTTTATCCAGTTTGACTCGAAAAATCGAGAATTGAGAAAAATAATTGGTTAATAAAAAAATGATCATTTGAACTATGAGAAGAGAGTGATCAATTTCTATTCTTTATGTCTAATTTAATTTTCTCATCTGCCTTTAAAAAAATATCTTCTCTTCTTTTCCATCCCCATATTCTTCTTATGTTGTACTGTACCTAATTTTAGTCTCTAATTGCAAATTGGCAATGAAAGAAATAGATGTCGGCTCTATATTAGATCTTTTCACTTATTTTTATACCAATTTGTGAAACACTTTTATACGTATACACTTGTATGCATATACGATTATCATTCCAAATGGCGTACAAGTACATGACTATAGTAAAATTATTGTTCTTTATTATTTCACATATATTGACTTTTGTCTTAGTACATTTTGCATATATATATATATATATATATATATATATATATATATATATATATATATATATATATATATATATATATATATATATATATATATAGACACACACACATGTGATGAAGCAAAAAAGAAAATTGCATTCACAAAAAAAATTACAATCATAAATAAAAAAGATTACATTTAAAAAAAGAAAAAGAAAAAGGCTATCGTGACCACGCAGCCACACGTACACTATAAGTTTGTTTTTTAATAAACATATAGTAAATCATATTAATTAGTTATGTTCTTTCACTTTAATTAAATTCATTTTATTTTATTTTATTTTTAAAATGAAAATAATTTTAAATGAAGAAAAAGGTTATGGGATCACATAATCATCTGGAATTACGAAGGTGTTTGGATCTTCATGTTGTAGCCATCCATACTTCTCCAAGAATGGGTTGGTTAGGGTTTTTGGTGGGTAGTTATGAATGTCCTCTTTCCACACATTTTCACCTTCTTCTTCATTATCACCTCCCAAATCCCTCACCACCTCCCACAAACAACTATTGCACTTGAACCCAGCTCCAAATGTGATCATGAAGACTTTGTCACCTTTCTTGAGCCTCCTCTTGGCTTCCATGTAACGCAACACGTACCACGTGCTGCTCGCTGACGTGTTCCCGAATCTGTGAAGCGTCATTCTGGCTGGTTCTAAATCATATTCGGTCAAGTTTAGGTTCAACCCTATCCCATCGATCACATCCTTCCCTCCGGTGTGGATACAGAAGTGGTCCACGCCGATCTTGAAGTTGATTGATGGCTTGGGCAGGGGCTGGGCCCCACTTTTAGTGGAGCCCTGTGCGAGTCTTCTGCGAAAGGACAATATTGCAAAGCGAATGAGCTCTTTTATGGGTACGATCTTGAGGGCGACGTCTTTGAGGTTGTCTATGAGAGCACTTGTTGCAGCCTTGGGGAGGGTCTTCCCCAAGTGAAACCCCACCCGTCCCTGATCGTCCTCTTTCTGCAAGCAGCAGTTGTACGATTCTTCTCTCGCACCGTGGTGCTTCCTCACTAAAAACTTTAACTTAAACATGGACTTACTTTTACACTCATCCTTGTTGGTCAAGAGAATGGCGCACCCTCCACTCCTAAACAAACAATTGGCAAGAATCATTGACCTATCGTTCCCTGTGTACCAATTTGGACTCAAAGACTCTGATGTCACAACGAGCGCGTACAAATTCTCTTGAGTCTTGAAAATGTTCTCGACGATATTGATGGATATGAGACTGGCGCTACATCCCATGCCTGACAAATTGTACACCTTAATCCCTTCTCTCATCTTGTAGTGATTGATGATCTGCGTCGACAACGATGGCATACACGCGAGCATCGACACGTTAACAACCAAAACATCAATCTCTGAGGGACACACCCCTTGTCTCTTCAACAACTTATCGATGCTATCATTGAAAAACTCCTCCATCTCCACGATCCCCTCTTCGTACGTCGGGCACTCCTCCCGGGCCTCAAACACCATCCTCGGCGCGTACGTTTGCTCCCCTATGCCAGAGCTGACTATGGCCTTTAGGAGGAACTTGTACTCGTTCAAACCGAGATTCTTGTTTCTCCTAATGACCTCCCCGCTCAGCTTGGTGCTGAGCATCCGGTCGTCCCCCGGCTTGTAGCATTGGTAGTCCAAAATGTAGCAACCTTGGTGCTTCTTTTGATCCATGATCTTCCATAGAATGAAGATGAGGTAAAAGAGAGGAAGGGAGGAGTAACATAAAATAGACATTATGGGATCCATGATGAAGAAAGAGAAGAAGAGAATGAATTGTTATAAAAATAGTGAAGTTAGGTTTGTTTTTTGTCAAGACTTTAAATCAAACACACACATATATATATATATACTCCTACAATAATTATCCGTAATAATATTAATACAAGTTAGCAATGAAAGAGGAGTGTGCCCTAACACATGTGAATTCATCTAATATTTGACGTGTTATAACTTTCTTCAATATCTTCAAAAAAAAATCTTTAATAATTAATACTTAAATTAAAAATGTACTCTTCCACCACTTCATCGGTGCATGAAGTCTCCCATCAATCTTTGTAGCAATAATTAATTTGAGTCCGACCCGCACCTTAGGCATGTTTGTTAATAACTGTTTAAAGGATAGATTTAAAAATAATACTCTCTCCGTCGTCCTATAGTATTCGTCCAGTTTGACTTTTTCAAGTCAAACAGAAAAAATTTTAATCTTAAATTACTCTTAATTTGTACAGCATATTAATACAATAGAATACATTTTTGAAAGTTCTAAACAAGTTTAATATATTAAAATCATTTTTATACTAATACTTCCTCCGTTCGAAAATGTTCTTCTCGTGTTCACTTAGAACACTTATTAAGAAGTAGTAAAATATGCCAAATTTCCAAAAAAAACCACATACTATAAACTTTTAAGTCTTCTTTTCTTATTAAAAAAATAATAAAAAGAAGATTAGTTATAAAATAGAAGGCCATTATTGAAATTTATCCTTAAAAAGGAAATGTGAAGAATATTTTCGGACGGGCCAAAAAGGAAAGTGAGAATAACATTTCGGGGTTTTTACTTAATTAAAGTTCAAAGTTTGTCTAATTTAACTCAAAAAAGCCAACTAGATGAACACTTTAATTAACATGGAGGCAGTACTCCGTAAGAGTAACGTTTTATTAGTCACATCATCAATTGGTGTCATCCTTAGGATTAAGGTAATATTTTTTAAAAAACCAAATCAAACAAGGATTCAAATAACTTCAATTTTAGGTTACGCATCATAAAACTCGTGGGACATGTTTATTTAGCTTTAATATTTTAAAAGTTAATCTATATTCTTAAAAGATAATTCAAAATGCTAACGTTATTTGAAAATGTTGCTCCCACTTTAAAACAAATCATAAACTTTGTGTTACTAATTAAGAATAGGCTTAAGACTTAAGTGGGGTGTTTACCCCTTTAGTATATAGAAATATTTTCATTCAGTTTGATTTATCGAGGTGGACTTCACATTTATTAAGACATTTTACAGATTCGATCCCTGGTCATCGGTCCAAGATTTCACGCTCTTGACCAACTGAGCTACCCATGCGGGCAAACTGTGGTAGGGTAAACTTTTTATAGTGACTAGCCCCACCGCTTTCGCGGCCCCATACCCCAGAAACCCAACTTTGGCTTGGCCCTACATGTTAGTATACACCGCTTGGCCCTACCACTTGAAGGGTTTTTTGGGGAGGCATAGTTCCACTGGCGCAGAGTGGGACTCAAACTCGAGACCTCTCCTCTGGAAGGGTAACTCCACAACTAGCTGAGCTGAGTTGCTTCGTTAAAACTGTGGTAGGGTAAACTTTTTATAGTGACTAGCCCCACCGCTTTCGCGGCCCCATACCCCAGAAACCCAACTTTGGCTTGGCCCTACGGGTTAGTATACACCGCTTGACCCTACCACTTGAAGGGTTTTTTGGGGAGACATAGTTCCACTGGCGCAGAGTGGGACTCGAACTCGAGACCTCTCCTCTGGAAGGGTAACTCCACAACCAGCTGAGCTGAGTTGCTTCGTTACCTCTAGTGTTATATGATAGATCGGTATGGACGCACCAATGTGGCTTTGCATCAAGTTCTGTCATAACACATGACCGTAGCATTAAATATTAGGCTTCGTTTGGTATACAGAATTGAAACTATGAAATTGAAATTGAAGAAAATAATTCGAACTCTACTATTTGGTAGCACAAGAATATGTGGACCTAGAACTGATAGTGCCAAAAACGAATTAGAATTGGAGAATTCAATTCCATCAAAATCAATTTCATAGAATTTCAATTTTCAATTCGATTCCTATTCCGTCAATTCCGTGTAGCGAACAAACACTTAGTATGAGATTTTACTGTAATTAGTATGAAATTTTACCGCAAGTTAAAAAAAATGGAAGAATACATTAAATTCCTAGATAGGGGTGGAAAGGGAGGCGAAAATAACAATACAACCAACCGCAAGGACAAAAGAGGAAAAATGATTCACGAGTCTGAACCATTTTGGGGTTGGGGCGCAATAAAGAGTGGAGATGGGTGGTGGATGGGAGTTCTTAGTCACAAATTTATGAAAGACAGCCAAACATGGCTTCCGGGCAGCTCAGGGAATTTAAGTTACTACCCTTTTTGCTTTTTTCAGAAAAATTTAAAAAAGAAGATAAATCTAATTCTAGCCCCTCATCAACTCCAACCTAAAAAATTAGGGAGTACTCGTCCGTCTAAAAATTATCTTCCCGTTGCGCGTTACGATTTTTGACTGAAGTTATTCTCAAATCATTTTATATGAAAAATGCTGAGAAATTAAAAAATTACATATTCAAAAATTGTATCAAAAGATCTACAAAACTAGAGGTGACATGACTATATTATTTTATCAAATGGATAACGAAAATAGGCCAACAAAGTGAATAAATTATGACCTTGTGAGTAGTGAACGGAAAGATAATTTTTGGGCGGGAAGAGTATTTAAGAAGAAATAAATAAAAATTTAATTATTTCAAGTTAGGCATTGGAAGCGAGATCTATCTTAAACTCCAAATTCGGGTTTTAGGAGTCCAACTCGACTAGAATGTTCTTTTGCACTTTCAATTGACCACTTGAACTATGTCTGTGAACCCTTTTTCCCATTCTCAAACCACTAGACAAACCAACCGTCAAACCGAGATAGCACTAGCCGCTTGATACGGGCCTAACGTTACACGAGGAACTATCGGATACGGGCCATGAGAATGGGAAGAACATGCAGATCGTGAGGAAGAACATGAAGATGTCCAACAGACCGGACGGCCGAAGAGGAACACACGACGACCAAAACGTTACGAGGATTACGTTTAATAATTTTTATGTTTATTTCATATTTGTACTTTAGTCTTTTTTTTAGGTGGACGAATTATAAGTCTCTTCAAGGGTTTTCTTTTCGTTTCTTTCCCTTGACGCTTTTCTTGAACCGACAGGATTAGGATTAGGGTTTCTCTACCATTATATAAAGGGAACACCCCTTACTTTGTTAACCAAGCAATAATACAAAGGTTTAGTTTAGTACAACTCCTCTTTTCTTTCCTTTTTTTGCACGGACGAAACTCCCAGGAACAACCCAACGTTGTCGCCTAGGGTTTCTCATTCCTTGTCCGCCAAGATTCCTTAACATCTGGTGCCCTCATTGACGTTCTCATGTCTACGCCAACACCCGAGACTCCGGCCCAAGGTGCCATCACCATAGACGATCTGCTACAAGCCATCAACAACTTAAGCGCCGAACTCCAGGCGACGAAAGGCCAAGTGGCGGCCTTAGCCGCAATAGCTCCTCATGCCGAACCTCGCTGGAACCGTCCTCCCGGCATGGGCTGGAGACCACCACCAAATCGTCCTCCTAACGGTGGGCACAACATTGAGGCTATTCCGCGCATGCGCGTGGAGGCACCACGTTTCAACGGGGACGATCCGGCCGGTTGGATCTTCCGAATTCAAAATTATTTCGATTATTTTCTAACGCCCAAGGGTGAACGATTGCAACTAGTTGCTATGCTCATTGATTACCCGGCCTCGGATAGGTTTCGTTACTACCAAACCAATAATTGTGGCACGAGTTAGGAAGCGTTTCTGGTTGCCGTACGACAACGCTTTGACCCGGATTATTATGAGAATTACATTGGATTGCTTTCTAAATTGCACCAGACCACTTTGGTCCTTGCCTACCAATCCGTTTTTGAGACAATCCTCAACAAGATTTCCGATGTGCCGGAACCAACGCTAATTGCCATGTACGTTTCGAGGTTACGTCAACCAGTACAACGAGAAGTTAATTTGCGTAATCCCCGAACTCTTCAAGAGGCCTTTGGACTGGCAGAGAGTTATCAGCGACTCACCAGGATTCTTCTTCCTTCCGCCGACCATGGTCTACTCGTCCGTCGGGCCCACCCATGGGAGTCACGCCAGTCAGCCCACCCACGGCCACCACAGGGACGCGGGTTACCACACCTACCACAGCACAGCCGCTGCCTATCATCAAGGTCACGCAAGCACAAAAAAATGAACGGAGCAAAAAAGGGTTGTGTTGGTACTGTGAGGAAAAGTGGGCACCCAGTCACAATTGTAAGAGTCGCTTCCTCGCTTATATGGGGCCTGATGACGACGAGCCTTCCAGTGAGGTCAAAGTAGACAGTCCCCCGGAGGTCGACGATGCGGTCATCTTGGCCGACGTTTCCAGTCTGCATTCCTTGGCCGGTAGCCCGAGCCCGCGGGCTCTAAAGCTGGTCGGATCCGTCAATACCCAGGAGGTGAATGTCCTTTTGGACTCAGGTAGCACGCACAACTTTGTCCATCCGATGGTGGCAGAACGCTTGGCCTTGGTACTTCATCTGGTTCCCCCGTTCCGCGTCTATGTGGGAAACGGGGATTCGCTGCGTTGCGCATACTCCTGCCCGCGCACGCCGTTGCTGCTACAGGGTACTCTTTTTGAAGTCGACCTATTTCTTTTGGAAATCCATGGGCTCGACGTTGTCCTCGGTGTTCAGTGGCTGCAAACATTGGGGAAGGTGTGCCATGATTATGCAAATATGACCATGGATTTTTGTTGGAACGGGTCGCAAGTCACACTCTGGGGCAATGCGACGTTACCGCGTCCTATCTCGTTTGGGCAGCTGTGCTCCTTGGTCGCCCATATACCATTGCAGATTTTTGAATTAGTGGCCATGGATAGGTCCCCCCATTCTTCAACGGCACACGCATTTGTGTTTCCCCCAGACATCCCAGCCCCGGTACACACGGCCTTGGAGGAGCATAGGGCTGTTTTTCAGCTTCCACAGAATCTACCGCTAGCCAGGACATGGGATCACCGCATCCATTTGGAGACCGCAGCCAAACCGGTCAATGTTCGACCCTACCGTTATCCGTACTTCCAGAAAACGGAGATCGAGCGACAAGTCTGTGACATGCTCGAGCACGGCTTGATTTGCCCCAGTCATAGTCCCTTTTCCTCTCCGGTATTGCTTGTTCGAAAGAAGGATGGATCGTACCGTTTTTGCGTAGATTATCGCGCCCTCAATGCCGTTACCATTCCGGATCATTTCCCTATTCCCACCATCGACGAGCTTATTGACGAGTTGGGGCACGCACGGGTCTTCACCAAACTAGATTTACGGTCGGGCTATCATCAAATCCGGAAGCATGACGCGGATATCTTTAAAACGGCCTTCCGAACACATGAGGGACACTATGAGTTTCTCGTCATGGCTTTCGGTCTTACAAACGCCCCGTCCACATTCCAAGCGGCTATGAACGACTTGTTTCGGGAATACCTACGGCACTTTGTCATCGTCTTCTTCGACGACATTTTAATATACAACCCCACGCTCGACAGCCATGCCGAACACCTTCGAGTGGTTCTCCAAACTCTGCAGACTAATTCCTTCTTTGTCAAATTATCGAAGTGTTCGTTTTGCCAAACTATGATTGAATACCTGGGAAATGTGGTCACGGCTGGGAATCTACAACCCGATTCGTCAAAAATTGAAGCCATGGTTGCATGGTCGCGACCCACTTCAGTCACGCAGCTCCGCGGATTTTTAGGCCTCACTGGCTACTATCGGCGGTTTGTCTCTGGGTATGCCATGCTCGCTGCACCTCTCACAGATCTCTTAAAGGACAGTTTCGAATGGAAAGACGTGGCAGAGTCTAGCTTTACCCACTTAAAACAGGCAATGGTCACAACGCCTGTCCTCTAGCTCCCGGACTTTGGGCAGACCTTCTACATCGAGACCGATGCTTCGAATGTGGGAATTGGGGTCGTACTCCTCCAACGCGGACACCCCTTTGCATTCTTTAGTAAAAAACTGAGTCCGCGCCATCGAGCCGCATCCACGTATCACAAGGAGTTGTACGCCATCGTAGGATTGGTACAAAAATGGCGCCAGTACCTCCTTGGTCGAGAATTCGTGATACGCAGCGATCAACGCAGCTTAAAAGATCTCCTTGGTCAGGTGATTCAAACTCCGGAACAGCAACTCTACATACGGAAATTGATGGGGTTCAAGTTCCGAATAGAATACAAATCTGGGGCTTCCAACCGAGTCGCTGACGCTCTCTCACGCCGCGAGTCATCCGATCCTCCCCCTACCACTGACACGGCCAGGCTCTTTATGACATATGCCCAACCACTCCCACTGTTATGGGAGGATCTACGCCGCGATAATGAGCAGTGCACCGATTGCAGGTCCCTGCGTTCGGCCATACAGGAAGGAACTGCACCCCCGCACATCACGCTCCATAACGGGCTGTTGTATTATAAACACCGTATTTACATCAGCTGCGAGTCGCCCATACGCCAAACGCTACTCCATGAGTTCCAGGGTACCCCTGGCGGGTCACCAAGGGGTAGACCGCACCTTCAAACGACTTGCGGAGGTCTTTTATTGTTCAACAATATATAGCGGCCTGTGTACCATGCCAAACTACCAAGTACTCAACACAGAAGCCGGGCGGCCTATTACAACCGCTTCCTATTCTAGAGCGCGTGTGGGACTCTGCATCCATGGATTTCATCACAAGGCTACCGGGGTCGCGTGGGTTCACGGTCATTATGGTCGTAGTAGACCGCCAATCTAAATATGCGCATTTTGGTCCGCTCCCCACCGGCTTTGATGCACCGAAAGCAGCACACATTTTCACTGACATTGTGGTGAAACATCATGGGTTTCCCGCAACAATTGTTTCTGACCGGGACGCCATATTTATGAGTACCTTTCGGCGGGAGTTGATGAAATGTAGTGGCACAGCGCTCAAGTTTAGCACTGCATACCATCCGCAAACCGATGGCCAAACGGAGGTAATGAACCATGGTCTCGAACAATATCTCCGGGCTTTTACTTTCGAGCGACCACATCGATGGGCTACTCTCCTTCCCTGGGCAGAATTAGCCCTTAACCGCAGCCACCATGCCGGTCTCAACATGTCCTCATACCAAGCATTGTACGGTCGGCAACCTCCGCAACTATTCCCAACCTTGTCCACTCATGCTCGCATGCCCACTGTCGTCGAAATGTTGCAGGAACGGGCAGAGGTTCTGGAGGATATTCTCACTAATCTCACAAAGATGCAACAACGTATGCACGAGCGAGCCAATTTACATCGTCGGGACGTCAATTTTCAGGTGGGCGACCAAGTCCTCCACAAGATACAACAGTACCGTCAGCATTCTCTTGTGCGCCCACGCTCGTCCAAACTTGCTCGGCACTACTATGGGCCATTTGAGGTAATCGAGCGCATTGGTCCAGTAGCATATCGCCTTCGCCTCCCCGACAGATGCCGCATTCATGATGTCTTCCACGTATCCTTATTGCGGCCATTTGTCTCCGGTCACCAGCTGCTGCTCAATCCTTCCCTACCGGCTGATCTTTTGCGTGGGCGAAAGGTGGCAGTGCCTCTTTCTGTAGGAAGGCGTCGTACAGTGCTTGACAACGGCAAACCGCAGGAACAATGCCTCGTCCGTTGGTCAGATGATGGCGGTGCAATGGCCACGTGGGAACCCATCGAACACTTACGCACACATTTTCCAAATCTCGACCTTGAGGACAAGGTCGTTCTCAACCCCGGGGGAGTTGATACGGGCCTAACGTTACACGAGGAACTATCGGATACAGGTCATGATGCTATTCCTACAACACGTGAAGACCATGCAGATTGTGAGGAAGAACATGAAGATGTCCAACAGACTGGACGACCGAAGAGGAACACACGATGACCAAAACGTTACGAGGATTACGTTTAATAATTTTTATGTTTATTTCATATTTGTACTTTAGCCTTTTTTTAGGTGGACGAATTATAAGTCCCTTCAAGAGTTTTCTTTTCGGTTCTTTCCCTTGACGCTTTTCTTGAACCGACAGGATTAGGATTAGGGTTTCTCTACCATTATATAAAGGGAACACCCCTTACTTTGTTAACCAAGCAATAATACAAAGGTTTAGATTAGTAGAACTCCTCTTTTCTTTCCTCTTTTTGCACGGACGAAACTCCCAGGAACAACCCAACGTTGTCGCCTAGGGTTTCTCGTTCCTTGTCCGCCAAGATTCCTTAACACCGCTCACATAGGTAAGTGTATCACACCATTTTCATCGGGTCGGATTTGAACGCGTTCGGGCAACATAGGTAAGTATATGCCCTATAATTTCAGTTTAGCATGACACCAAATGGCATCAAACTTGATGCCATAACTGAAGTGGAGAACTCATTTTTTTCCATCACTTGAAGAGTATTTTTTTATATTTAATCTTTGGGATTAATCTTACTACCAATCATCCTAGCAACACACATTGGTCACATTCTCTCCATCTCAAACACAACTTTTAATTTTGAAATGTTCAAAAAAAAAAACAAATTTGATTTTGAAACCATCGAAAAATTAAATACTCCGTATAAGATCTAGTTTATGGGAGGGAGTATATTTAGGGTCCGTTTGGTATACGGAATTGGTGGAATTGGAATTGAATTAGAATTGAAATTTTATGGGATTCAATTCCATAGAATTGAATTCTGCCAATTCCAATTAATTTTTTGCACTATCAATTCCAAATCCACATAATTTTTGTGCTACCAAATACCAGAATTGGAATTGAAGTCCTCAATTCCAATTCATAGTTTGAATTCCATGTACCAAACAGGACCTTAGTACTAAAAAAACTCTCTTTCACCCGGCCCTAACTCCATTAATACTCTTCATGAAAGAGAGTTTCATAATTTTTTTGGGTACATTAGAAGAAAAGAGATTAATAGCCTTGATGACCAAAAGAGATGGATTATCACCCTAAATAGGACTAAAACATAGGAAATAGTGCTAAAATATATATGTGTTCCAGATTTTAATTTTTGAAATTGGACTTCACAGTGTGGTAATGTGGTTGTAATGTGGCAGTGTACATATGCACACTACTATATTTTTGGTAATGTACATGACCATGTTTGGTAATGTAAATGCATTTTAACTTCTATTTCGAGAATAAAAACATATACGTCCTATTTTGGTATATTTTCAATATTTTTACTCATATTTTAGTCTTTTTCCCTTTTGTAAACTTGAGACCATATAATCTTTTTTTTTATGTTTGGTGAAACTTAAACCAGTCTCGGGTTCAATATCTCTATCTATCAAAATTTTCATAAAAGAGAATTGATATCTCTAAAAATTAGAAAATAATCAATATTAAAATTTGATATCTCATTCAATTGTCGACTACCCTAGCCACGAGCGACCACCATCGTTCCCCAAATGCCGCATTCATTCTTCATTGTTGGTTATTCTTGTCTATCATTAAAAATTATGATTTTAAAATCTTTTCTAACACATTATTTCATATATCAAAACTCGTATCATTTTTTCAAATTATAAAACACATTATACCAATCCTCCAAAATTCATCAAACGGACACAATAACAGTAAGACATTGAAAAAACTTAAATTGCAACGAGTATAATAGGGAGTAATAATTTTAAAAAGATATACAACGAGAATAAGTACTTGTCATTACTAAAACATAAGCTTCAATTAAAAGCATAGTCACAAAGAGGGTGTTTCGGGAAGCTGATACACTTATTCAATTTTATTTTTTCATGTCAAATTAAACAAATTTTGAACTTCAATTACTATTAATTTATATTGCATATTGATATAATAAATTAAATATTTTGAAGTTTTCATCAATATAAATCTAAAACAATCACTCTTATACTAATATACATTTCATGTTTTGTTTAACTAAAGCTCAAATTTCATCCTTTCAGCATATCAACAACTTTAAACCATCACCATTATACGTACTCTATTCATTCCAAAATGATTTACGGAGTATTTCTTTACTTTTACAGCTTTTTGATAATTTTTGTTTGCATAATTTAAATAATCATTTGATAAAATAAATATTTGTGTCATCTCTTCACTTGAGTAAAAGATTTCTTGAAAAGAGCCTCTCTACCCACGAGTAGGGGCAAAATTAGCATGCACACACACTCCAAACCTACTCTTATGGAATCCTACTATGTTCTTGCTTCCGCAACTGGTTTGTAGTATTATTTTTTATGTATATTATAAAATTTTTATTTTTTATTTCAATACCAATTTCTAAATAAAATTATTTTAAAAGTAGTAAAATTTTACATGTCAATCAAAAAGGATAAAGTATTGGGAGAAAGATCAAAGTAGGATTAAAACATTAAAAATATACAAAAATGGGACTTCTATGTTTTTATTCTCAAAATAGGACTTACATTACCAAACAATTATCAAACATGGTCATATACATTACAAAAAAAGTATAGTAATGTACACATGTACACTAGCACATTACCACAGTGCAAAGTCACATTAACACAATGCAAAGTCCTATTTCGAGAGAAAAAACATGTAAATCCTATTTTGGTATTTTTTCTCTAATTTTAGTCTTATTTAGGGTGATTTCTAACAAAAAAAAGTACTAGAGATAGACACCATAAGGGTACAACTGCAGTTCCAGTATCCATTTTAGGGAAGTCAAATCTCGCATCGTGTAGAGGCAGTTTTGGTTCTATCACTTCTATAGCGATTCCAATAACTCTTTTCTTGATAGAAAATAATATTTCATCCATCTCATAAAGATGTTTTCATTTTGACTTTTAAAAAATTTAAAGAAAAATTAATTTTGAGTTAATTTTCCAAAAATACCCAATGAAAAAAGTAAGATATGATGAGAAGATTATTAATATAAAAGTAGGTAGGTTAATAATGTAATAGGTAGGTTAATAATGACTCCATATGAAATAATCTCAAACAAATTATAAATAAGCACAAAAAGATAAAGTAATCTATAATATCATACCATTTCAAGTAGTGCAACATGGTGACCTCCTAACTCATCCCCTAAAGCCCCTAAGGTCCTAAATTGGCAATCTAGAGGGGGTGCAAGGGGGGAGGGGGTCAAGGATGGGGACGAAGTGAAACTGATAGGTCTGGAGGGTTTAGAATAGGAGTAAGAACTATCAATTTTACGAACGGTGTACTGTAAGTGCCCAAACAACCACTGGTGTCGCATACAGGTGTCATTTTCGTTGGCCTAAAATTACAAACTCTCAAAGATAAAAACCCAAAAAAAAACCAATTTTGGATCCAACACAATTCAAGTTTCATTCCGATACCAAAAATTAAGAATCGGAACCAAAATCTTTTCCCACAGTTCCGGGCAGTGCTGGTACTCTAACAGTCCCAGTACCGGTTTGAATCCCGGTACCAAACCGGAACCATGTCCCGCCCTAACTCCGTATAAAACATCACTTTAAAAAAGAGAATAGGAGATGTTCTTTGCTTTGAGCTTTTGTGTTTATCAAAAGTAGTATACTTAAGAATTACTTTACCCATAAGTTCACCTCTCAACCACATAACAGCCTGTTAACTCCTCAAGATTTCTCAAGTGTTACGAAGTTTCAAACAATTTGAAGCAATTTAAAATAAGTTAGGCCGCCCAAGAAATAAAACTAAAAAAACTTATAAAAAGGATGTTATTAGAACACTGTAACATGTATAGTTGTTTTTCAAGTGCTACAACATATCATTTTCAAAATATGTATATATACCTTGTGTGGTTTTGAAACACAATAAAATAACTCTACTGATGAAATAGTTTTAAAACTACTAGTGATAAAATATTCAAAATCCAACATACATTCAACAAAAATCAAGTACATTGATAACAATGTCTTAAGAGAAGATGTCCAAATGGAGAGAGTACTTTAACAACTTACCAGAAGCCAAAAGAAAATAACAAATCTTAAAAACTAAGTATGAATGATACGTTAAACCTTAATAGCATACTTTCTCAATGGGAAATACATTTCTTTCTTCTTCTCCCTTTCTGTCTTCAGAGATGCCTGCACATGGTCAGATGAGTATATTTAGACCAGACAAGAGACCGTAGGTTAAAACATGATGAGTTAAAAAGTGCATATGAAAATCAGAAAATGAAACTATAACTTCAGTGGTGCATAATAACTTTAGTAAAAAAACATATGATAATAAATATACAAACCGGAACAAGGCAAAGCTTTTTTGGGTCTCCTTACACTAGAGTAGCAATATAATGTGACCCAATAAAAACAGAGAACATAAACAAAGAAGCTTATTCATGTTTCTTGGAAGAAGACTCCATATAGCAGACACAAACTAAATACTCCCTCCTTTCTAAAATAATTTTCCATTATGCCTTTACATACACATTAAGAATTGAATGAATACAGACATATATTGTGTCCACATTCATTTGGTTCACAACAGATGTAAGAAGTCATACAATGGACACTTATTTAAAAACAGAGGGAGTAGTTATAATGCTTGAGCCTTAGACAAATGGATACAAACTGAAACATGGAACCCTTCAACTCCAATGGTCTGACTACATCATAAACATTAGTTTGATTTTATTTTTGGTTTCCAAAAGTTTTACAGTGAGAAATGTAACATTAGAGATTACAAATAGACAAGGAAAACACATCTTGAATAACTCTTACAGTGGCAATTGAAAGGATGGAATCCAAAAGGGATGCAAACACATAGGGATTGACAGCAGCATTATAGGTACCATATATAGACAAAGAAAGAATAATCTTCATAATAAGCATACGATTATACGAACGACCACAAAAAAGTGCAACACAGAATCAAAAGCACACATTAAGACCATTCATTAATTAATAACAATGAAAGCGCTAGAAATGCAGTTCCACAGAATAAAATCACACAAAAAGTATGATCTAGGAGAGGCTGTTACCCATTATGTTAATAAGAGACCACAAAGCACACACAAGGTAACCATAGAAGAGTAAAACTAGAATCTTTAAATCTAATTTTGAATACCTGGTGCTTAGTAAGGCGTCTGCGGATGGCTCTGGTCTTCTTAGGACGAAGATCAAGGGGCAAGTACTTCTTGTTCTGGTAGGCTGATCTTAGCGCCGCTTTCTGCGTCTGGGAGATCACTGTCAAAACTTGGGCAATAGACACCCTCACTACCTTGCTGCACACCGTCATATTTCATTTCAAATTTATCAGTTCACGAACAAACGCATAAAACTACCGAGAAAATCACTGTTCTGAAAAGTTCTTCAGGGAAGAAATTAAGGAAAAGAGGACTATTACATCTTGGAGAGCTTATTGGGGGCGCCGCCGGTGACCTTGGAGACTCGAAGGGAGGCGAGCTCCGCCTTCAGATCCTTCAGCTGAGCCAAAAGCTCCGCCTTCGACTTCTGTCTCAGCTCGTGTACCTTGATCCTCGCTGCACGCCGATTTCAAAGAAAGGTTAGTCAGATTGAATCGGGAACGATTAAGAAAAGACAAAATTCAAATGAAGAATTCAAAAACTAGGGAGATTCCGTGGTGTTCATACCCATAGCTCCGCGGTATCTGGTTCTTCTGTGCGTGTGTTAGAGCGCCGTCGATCGAGCGAGGCTCTACTTAAAACCCTAATTTGGGGCAGAAAGGAAGTCGAGACGAAACCCTAATTCGGGCCAAAGGAATAAGCCAAATAATATATCGGCTCAAGGTGGTCATAATATGAAGGTTTAGGCCCAGAGAAATTCAGACTATTTGAAATTTGGGTTTTCAATAATTAGGGCTTTTATTTACATAATATAAGGAGGATATATTCAATAAAGTTTCTAATGGATCTTTTTGGACTTTGAAAATCTGCAAGTATTAAATTTAGATTTTAAAAAATCTTAAAGTTTGGATGTATTCAATTCACATTTTAAAAATCTTTCTAAATCTAATGGTATTCAAATTTGATAGATTTTTAAAGATTGTTAAAAAATGCATATTTTGGTGGATTTTGAGGTGTTGGGTATAAATATCAATCCACATCCAAATCTCACACAAAACGCCAAGATTTTGAGAAATCTCTTCTTCATCGTCTTCTAGTCGGACATCTTCAAGCAGGGGTGGATCTTTCACGCAAAACTTTGAGATTTTGACAACTCCACTAGAGCCAGATCTTTCTTCCTCTCCTATAGAGTATTTGTATGATATTTTCTTGCCTTCAATTCCCCCCTAAATGGTCAATTTATTTGCCTTCATTTTCTAGACCATAGCTTGTTTCAACTGTGACTCCACTGCATCATTTTCTGGCTCCTCCATTACCTTCAATTATAGATTTCTAGGTTAATATAGTTATGCCCTTTATGTGTTTGAAGAAATGTCAAGAAGAAGTGTTTCTATTAGTTTTTTCCCATTTTGGTTGAGGTAAAGAGTGTTTATATTCCCTTGCACTAATATCTATATAACTATTTATCCTCCATTGCATCTACCACTCCATAGAAGAACTTCAAGCTATTACATATTACATTTTAAAGATTATACTATATAATAAAGTAAGAAGAAAAAAATAAAAACACAAAGTTGTATTTATAATCACATACTCCGTATTATATGTAACATTCTAATCCGTCTAGATCTGCAGCCCCTTTCAGAATAAAGTATAAACTTGGTATTCGTAAACATTCAAAATATTTCAAACATTTTAAAACTTTATTTCATAATGAATTATTCAGAATAATAACGGAGTAGTTGAACGTTGCGGAAACTTAATAAATAACAGTTACAAAACATAATAATTTTATGTCTTTCAGAACAGTAATTCAAAATTTACACATCCATCCCGACCATCCAGCCTCATCTGCCGCCAGGAATACGTCACTTCATTCTTTTTGTTTACCTGTGTTTAGCAAATGAAAATACTTCAGCGTTGAAGCTGAGTAAACATATCTAATGCGTCAAACATCCATATAAATTGAATCTCAATTCATAATCAAACCATTTGATATCATGCACGTAATGTTCAGTTTAGATATTCAATCATTAATATTCAATGTTCGTCATTTATTACTCAACATTCAACATTCATATTCAACATTAATATTCAACATTCATGTTCAACATTCATAGTGTCAACAATGTTCATAAACTATTATTAGTCTAAGGCCAATTTAATTGTTACACTAATTCTAGTTTAAGGTATTCTTGACCAATCCTTAAGCTAGGCCTAGTTTAAGATACAGATTTTCAAAAAGGTTTTCAAAATCTTAAACTTACCTTCGCTTAATGTCAACCAGAAACCGAACAGCGGAATATTCACTGTCGGGTAGGGTGGTACACCCAAACGAGTAGGTACTCAAGTTTGGTATGTGGGTCCCATAAGTACGTTTTAACCTTGGCCATCAGACATCATACCCGCAAGGCCTAACTAAATATGTATATCTTAGAGTTCTTCTAGATACCCTTCAAAATCAACATCCTTATGGGTATATCTTAGCGTTCTTCTAGATACCCTTAAATTCAATATACATTATAATCATCAATATATTCATTTTTAAGTCATGCTTCAATCATTCACAATAATCATTTTAATCAGTAGGTTCATCAAATCATAATCATTCATCATAATCATCAATCCACATAACATCCAATAGCAAATAGCGGCCTAGCTTTGAGTGATAATACCCTAGCTTACCGTCACGCATCACTTAAGATTTTATTTGTTAAAAACATCATTTTTATTTCCATAAATCATATTTACATTTATCACAATTGATTGGTATTAAAAAATAGGATTTAATAGTTCAAAAATCAAGTTTCTAAAAACTTCTCGTGTCAGATGGTACCCTTAATGATACCTCGGTACCGACGTACGATACCTCGGTACTGCCCAAATGGTACGACACCGCCAGAGGAGGATTTTTCCGCAACGGAGATGATAGCTAGCCTACCATCCCGATGGTATGGCCTACCGTGCTGGTGGTACCAAGCTACCGTCCGGCCGGTATCTGGCTACCGTTTTGCGCGTAGTTTTGAACATTGTCATCTTCAACTTCGGGCCAATTTTTGAAAATGTCATTTTTAGTCACCAAACTTCAACTAAACTATATAGAAATGTTCTCCAAGGTTCATAGATCATTTTGGTATCATTAGCTCGTAATTTTAACATCAATTTCAAGATTTATGATTATTGGTTCTTCACTCATGTCAAACACAAAACTCAACCAAACGGCCGTTTATGATTGTAGAAACGATCTATACGAACATTCTAGTCACTAGATATAACTACGGGCTTACCTCAAAGCTTAATGAAAGTTTTGCAAATTTTCTAGAGAAACTTCCGGCGAAGATTGTGGCTAGCTCCGGTGACGGGAAGCTCTCTGGACAGCACTACTTTACTTTCTACACTCACAGCTCTCTTTTAGAAGAAGAATGGTGAAGGTTTAAGGGGTTCATGTCTTTTTATTCCTATCTAAAGACATACAGAGTATTTCTTTTGATTTAAGAATTCCAAATTTCTATAAGAAAGTTTTAATTTTTCTTCATTTGATTTTTAAGTTGTTGTTTTTGAGCAATGACTATAAAATGTGAAAAGATACATGACAGTTGGTTGTTGGCTGGTTTGAATGGCTGATTGAGTTAGCTGTTTTGATCGGCTGTTTCTGTAAGCTGTTAAAAATTAGATGTTTGGCAACTTTAGCTTTTTATAGTTAGCTATTTGCGAGTAAAATTACATATAAGGACATCCATCCATTAATGTTAATTTGTGTATGATTTTAATTTTTTTAATTTGATAAAATACACACATTATACAAGAAAATGCTTTACATTTTTTTTTGTTGGACAAAAAAGGCTACTTCGTTTTTTTAATTTAAGAAATGAGAATTTACATTTATATTTTATAAGTAATTTTTTTGTATTTTTCTCATAATCATTCTACAAATAACAATCATGCATGATATATTTTATTTTATAATTTTTTAAATATGATATCATAAATATATAAAAATACTCTACACCAATTTTAAATTAAAAATTAAATAAATTACTCGAGACAAGCATCACAATATGAAGTATCAAACATCTTTTGAGACGATATGAGCATTAGAAGTGACAAAAAATCAGACAAGCTCTCGACTAGTCATGAAATTGCAGGGAGAAAGTTAGGAAAACTTCCGGTGCCGTGAGGATTGCAGAGAGACGCAGGATCGAAAAAAGGTATGAAACGGAAAATGGGTGAACTGCTAAATGAAATGCTACTAGGGTTGGCATTTCAATTTTTGGTTGCTTGGTTCTAAATGCCAATTCCAAAAGCTATTATCCAAACAATTAATTTGGCGGTTTGACTAGTCCAATCCGCCGTTTATGGTCAAAGATGCCAAATGCTGGGTGAACCGTCATTTACCAAACATAGCCAATAGAACTCTCTACGATATAAATTTAATATGAATAGCCTCATTTTGAATTTAGAATATCATACTCCCTCTGTCCCATTTTGAATTACTTGTTTGCCTTTTTTTCTCCGTTCCAAAATAAGTTGCTTGTTTCTTGTTATCGTAAACTTTTATGAGCAAAATACATAAACTATCTCTAAAATAAGTCATTCTTCTCCACCTTATCTTCTCACTCATCGTCACCCTCTAAAAAGTAATGACAATTTCAGAAAGTCAACTCTATGTATCGGGCAATGAATGGACCTTAATATATAAAATAGTTATACGTATTGAGTCTTATTAAAAAAAATTAACTATTAGCATATGAAAATGTTAAGAAGGTTTACATTTCAAGGATCTTAAAACCACTATAAAATAACTCAATATTTATATGAAATTTAAACTAATACCAATCCATATAAGAGCTTGTTCTCTTTTTTTGATATGATTGGATCTGATATAAATTTATTAAGATCTGATATGCTCTGATATCTGACCTTTCTAATTACATTTAAAGTTATTTTTAATCTGATCTAAACTAATCTAGTTGTAATAAAAATAAGTAATAAGTTGAAGAGAACAACTTCTAAGTCCAGAGACCACTTTTTCAGAAAAGTTCTGTTTACAACGTACTTCATTCTTAAGTAACAATCTATTAGGGGTAAGCATGGTACGGTATGGTACGGTATTTAGCTCGTACCGATACCATACCAAATATTTCGGTTCGGTATGGGATTTTACTCCGTACCGATCCCGATCCCGATCCCGATCCCGAAATATCAATTCGGTATGGTTCGGTATAATTCGGTATCGATTTCGGTACAAATCGGGATGAACATACATATCTACTTTACACGTTAATATTTAACAATACCCCTTTATTTTTGAAAATTAAAAGTGAATTTAAATAAAAAAACATGAAAAATAAAAACAAAAGAATATTTAAATGCAAGAGATGCATATCAAAATTTAGTTTATATTTCAGAAACTAAAAAAAATGAATGGCGACAAAGAAGTATTTCGAGTCTTTGTGAATCTTTGTGAATACTTTTATGTTCATACACAAAAATTAAAACACAAATAAAAGTATGATTTACACATCATAGAACTTCAACCAATTTTTTTTAAAAAATTATTATTAAGTGAAGGAATATAAAAATATAACTCCGGGGTATTATTTCTTATAATATTTTAGTATATATGTTCGGTACGGGATTTTCGGTATGGGACGTCACCTCGTACCGTTCCCGAATACCGTACCGACCATTCGGTTCGGTTCCTTCTCGGTACTTTTTCGGTTCGGTATTCTCAGTTTTTTCGGAAAATTTCGGTATCGGTTCGGTACTTGCTCAACCCTACAATCTATTATGACTTTCTAGATACATTAAAACCAAATTAATGCAAAAATAATATTTGCCCACATTAATTTGATTCTTAATGTATCTAAAAAATCATACTCTCTCCGTTTTAAATTAAATTGTCAGTTTACCAATTCACATAGTCAAACTTCATTCACTTTTTTTCCTTATTTTCGTAGTCATTTGAGAAAATAATATACTCATGTCACCACTAATTTTGTAAATCTTTTAATGTAGTGTATAATTTTTATTTTTAATAGTACATCATTTTTTATATAAATTTATTTAAAAATAACATCAGTCAAATATTGTAAATTGAAACAGACGATTTAAATTAGGATGGATGGGGTAATATACAATTATTTAAAAACAAAGGGAGTACTCCATATATATTTCTCCTTCCTGTACAAAAAACATTTAACCATACTCCATACATTTTTATTTAGTACGAATAAATAATTGTGTGAATAAAATTTCCACAATCATATGTGATACGGTCCTTTGCTATATATATTGACCACGTGGATAATGGCCTTAGCTTGGAAAGGAGGTTATGTTAGTTGCAATCTGTTAGATGGTTGTTAGTTTGTTGAAGAGTTGTTGTGATGCATTGTTATGACTATATAAGTCGATGTATGTTGTATGCTAAGGCATGAATAATAATCTGAATTCATCTTCTTCCCCATCTCCTCTCTCTAAAATCTTTGTTCTTAAACACCATTGCCGTTTACAGAGCATCGAAGCTCGATCCTATAGCTTCCTTTCTTTGTATCATATTGATACAGCACAATGGAGAGCCACACCCTAAATGCTAGATGTTAAGGTTGGAGAACCCTTTGCTATATAAACCCATCACCAAGTATCCCATTCAACCGGTGTGGGACAACGAAATCAGTCTGTATCATTCAACCCCCCATAAGGCCCAACGTCCTCGTTGGTCACGGCTGGTTTCACCAGGCCACCACTCCATAGGCCAACACTCCGAGTTGGCTCTGATACTATTGATACAGCACAAGGGAGAGTCACACCCTAAAAGCTAGCTGTTAAGGTTGGAGAACCCTTGGCTATATAAACACATCACCAAGTTCTCCATTTAACCGGTGTGGGACAATGAAATCAGTCCGTATCAATATGATGCAGTTTGAATATTGAGTCTTACTGTATTAAGTGTATTTTTCTTAACTTTTTTTTGGGTTTTGTTTTTTACGTAACAAGAGAAAGATAGCTCAAATGATAGAGGAAATAAAATGTGAGCTCGTGACCTCTGTCCTTGTGATACATTCTATGCATTACATCTTTTTCACCTGCGCCCAAAGTTTTTACTCACTCTCATACTGTAATTTCTAATTTGACTTGAAATTTTAATTTATTACAAAACAGAATTTTTAGAATAGAAGATGCATGTTTGGAATTGGTTTGCAAAAAAAAAGAGTAAAAGGAATCATCTGGTAATCTTTTAAATAAATAAATATATAAAACATAACAAAATTTTGAGACGACACCAAAAGAAATGCAGTTCTGGACTGAAATTATAATGTTAAACTCAAACACAAGAAATGAGATTGTGATTGTCTTACTCCAAGAGTTTCGCCTCGTTTGCCGCGCACCTTGCAACCTTTTCCCTTTTCTTCTGCTTTCGGCGTTCCTCGCGCTGACCTGTTGAGCCATGGAAATTTTGTATTACATTAGGTACTAAACTCTTCTAGTGTGCGCACGTACGTGTGTGAATGCTGCGATTAATGTGAGAAATAAAAATGATATATACATACATACATATATATATATACACACATATATTTTATATAAATGTATGTATGTATGTAGGAACTGGCTTTTGGCATAGTCAAACGACACAAATATGACAAGGAAGTCAAATGTGGATGGCGATAATTTACGTTTTTTCGCTTCTTTCCTCTTTCTCCTTATGTTGTCCCAATTTTTCCTCTTTTCTGCAATGTCCTTAAAATCCAGATGTGCCTGAGAGAAGAAACAGAAAGAAAAAGCACCTTGCATCAAAACATATGTTCATAGTTGCAGAAAAACAACTTCTCTGCAATGAAGTTCTATAATCCACTCGAACAGAGTAAATAATATGTCGGAAGGATTGGTGTAAATGGAATTACAGATAGCGAAACATAGAATATGATTCCTATATGTTGGTAGTTATTCATACTCAACCTAAACAACTACTCCCTGTCCCATAATAACGTCAGACTATATTCACCTTCCTTATTTTTATTGATCATTCGATAAAATACAATAGTCTTGTCACTTGTTTAGTAGAACTTTTAAAGTAATTTTTAAATATATACTGTGTCAGTTTTATTTATTAGTTCTACACCAATCATTATATAAATTGAAGTGAAAATAACTTCGGTCAAACACCGTAATACAAAACTGAAACATTATTATGGGATGGAAGAGTAGAAAATAATACTGCAAAACCATCATTACTTAAGGACAAATGCTGCACTTCCTCTTTACCAAATCATTATTGCTGATGAGTGTTTTTGAGGGGAATAAAATCTACTTACCAACTCCCAAAATATTATTTGACCTTGTCCAGATGTTCTTAAAAAAATATTCCATATTTCTAATGTCTCTAAATACCATGTTCTTCTAGACAGACCGTGTGGGCACACTTTTAGGTACCCACATTACCAAATGTAGAAATAAACCCACATGGGTTTCATTCAACCCAAACAGGTTTATTATCACATTTGTTAATGTACTAATGTTAAACATGAAGTGCCTGGAGTGGTTCTACAATACTTAGACTAAATAAATGAAAAAATTACCCCTGGCCCAGCACTTTGAAGTGCCTGGAGTGGTTCTACAAGATCCTGTCCCATAACCAACAAACTTTTCCTTTTGTTGTTCACACTATTACTTGTTTGGCCAAGTCTTTGCTTAGCTAGTTCCTCTAATTGATTTTGCAAGAGAGGAGAAACCCCAGACTGCAGAAGATTTGAACAAGCTTAGAAAATGACATAGAGAAAATGCTTATAAACTCCTGAAAAAGCATTAGATAAACAGAGACAAAATGCAAGGAATTACTGTATTTCTCTATTAGTCAAAGTATCAAATAACAACCCCGCTGTATGAAAATATCCAAGTCCATGTGCATATAGAAATCTCTTACTGCTATGCTACCAAAGGTGGAGAGTGCATGGATTGGATGATTTATCATAATAAGTGATTTGAAAACAATCTATTAACCCATTAAACATTTATTAAAAGTTTCCCATCCATTCATGAACTCATTTTTACATTATGCTCTTAAGAAACAAGTCTATGTTAGAACAACCTCCAGCATCAATGGTTCAATGGAAAACTATCTTTGCAAGTATTGGCTTAAGTGCTTCTTCTTATGATCTTAAAACAATTTCAATGAAGTTTCTTTTGAGAAGATATGTTGCACAATCTAATGCATTTGCATCTCACAGCAAAAGTATGCTTTACATATTTTCTTAAGAAACAAGATCGCTAAAATGCAAGCCCGTGAACACAATAGAATGGAATGAAGATGTCTAAATAATAGGGTTGTTGGAACTTCATGAACACAATATTTTCATTTTGGGACATCTAAAAAAGAAAGTGTAAACTTCACTTTGAGGGAGTAATAGATTCCTATCATACATAAGAAAACTTCATGAAAGTATTAACACACTTAGGTATGAACACAATTCATCACATGAAAAGATTTTCTGCAAAGGATAATTACAATTACCCCTGCCAAAAAGCGACTTGAAAATGTCTTGGGTTGTAATGGAAGGGAAAGGCGAGAATTCAGCTCCTGCAGTTAGTAGGTGAATATTCTCAATAAATGAATAGTTTTGTGCCAACCGTCATTCCACCAAGACTAGTATCACTTTTGAAATTTGTTTTAAAACAAAGGATTATTATGTTTCATTGATAAATGGCTGTAAGTGAACGTAACCCTTATTGTTCTGAGATAAATCCTTGAGCACACAGATGGGTTGAGGAATTCAGAAAGAAGATGAGTGGATGGAAATTTTAGATGAAACAATTTCACTGAAAAAACTTTGAAGTATTTGTTCTACAACAACAACAACAACAACTACTACTACTACTACTACTACTACTACTAATTACTCCATACCATTTAATTTTGGTGGTTTACACACCTACATGTGTGTGTTCAATGATTATATGGAGTATATAGTAGATCAGTAGGTATCAATTATTACATGCATTAAATTTCTAAAAAGTTAATTGACAATATATATATATATATATATATATATATATGGGTCGGTTCAAGTGAGAATGCACCTTGGTGAAAGAAATAAGAATAAAATCTAGCTTTTGGATCTGATGCATCGTGCGGCTCAGATTGCATCCTGCACCTAGATTTTGAGATGGTGCATTTTCAAAGAATTTTAGTGCATTTCGACATGACGCATTTTCAAACCATTTTGGTGCACCTAATTTTGATGCAATCTTGACCCTTAAATCTCACAATTTTAAAGCACCAGATTCATTCTTATTTCTTTCATAAGATCGCATTCTCACCAGAACCAAAATCTATATATATATATATATATATATATAGGGATTGACTTCAGTGAGATGACACCTTACGGTGAGATGACATGCTTCGGTGAGATGACGCCAAGCTCACCACACTACACTACAAAGCTCACCTGAAAATAAAGCAAAGCTCACCACTTTGAACACCAAAGCTCTCGCTTTTTTTTAATTTTGAAAATTAAAAAATTAATTAAAAATAAAATAGCAACACCGGTCAACCACCAGTAAGCGGCGGCCGGCAACGAGCGGTAGCGCGATGGCGGCGACCAGCGACCGGTGGCAGAGACTGGCGGCGGCACGGTGGTGGCAGGCGGTGGTCAACGGTCAAAATCTAGTCAGGGCCTCTTCCTTTGATTTTATTTTTTTCAAAAAAAATGCAAAGTGTTGAAAAAACATAGTGAGCTTTGTCTAACAGTTTGGTGAGCTTTGTAGTTATCTTTGGTGAGCTTTGCACTGGCCAGTGGTGAGCTTTGTGCCATCTGACCGTAGCATGTCATCTCACCGTAAGGTGTCATCTGACTAGAGTCAATCCCATATATATATATACACACACACACACACATGGTAAGTCTAAAATGACACCAGTGCTACTGGTGTCATTTGCTTACACCAGTTCGTTTGGGGTACCTACGGTTCTCCGTTTGTAAAAATGACGGTTCCTAGCCCCCCCTAACCCTCCCCCTAAACCCCCCACCCCAGCCCCCCTCCCTACCCTGGCAGTACACTGCCAGTACACGGGTCAAGCAGGGTACGGCCAGGGTAGGGAGGGGGGCGGGAGGGGGGGCTGGGGTGGGGAGGAGGGCAAGGGTGGGGCTGGGGTGGGGGGTTTAGGGGGGCTAGGAACCGTCGTTTTTACAAACGGAGCACCGTAGGTACCCCAAACAAACTGGTATAAGCAAAAATAAGTAACTGGTGTCATTTTAGACGCTCCCATATATATATATATATATATATATATATATATATCAGGACCAAAGTCCAATCAATAACCCTTGAACAGTTCACCTTCATGGGTTGAAGCTTTGCCAAGTTCCAATAACCTTGCTAAAAAGGGGTAAATTCTAGCATTTTGAAGTACTAATTATAATACCTTAAATTTGAAGAAGTGAATTGCTGCCCGCTCCCGGATATTTTAAATTCCACAGAATTGCTGCTCTTTCAGCTGAAGAGGGGAATACTTCAGTGCAGACTACTTCCTCCGTACCACAATGAAGTTTACACTTTGACTTCACGGACTTTAAGAAAAATATTGAAAAGTTTGGGTGAAACTTGTTTAAAATGGAGAGTTTCTAAGAGCCACATACTCCTCTAAAACGGAAATGTAAGGAGTGTGAAAATTATTTTGAGAAGAACGAAAAAGGGGTGTGTAAACTTCATTGCGAGACTGAGGAGTATTTAGTCCATTGTATGAGAGCAGATCCTGTGTCCCAAGAATGCCCCCCAGCCCCCTACAGATGCTCCCACATAGCACAACAAATGAAGTAGGAGTGTAGGACCACATTTATGTGCTATGTGGCAGCACCTGAAAGATGAGATATGGGGTAAAAATTTTGGGACGAAAAATCCCCTACCCCATTCCCATTGTACACCAATCACTTGAACTTGGATTATCTTTACTTTCATTCCCTCTAACCTAATAATAGAAAGTGAAATCCTACTTATTCTTTACACTGGAATTTAAATGCATTCTCTCATTATTCCTTATGCAAGTTCTTTAAGTGACTGTATAATCATTACTGTACTAGAATAAAAGAAGGCCTGCTGCAAGTTCTTTAACTGAGCCTTCTGTAAAATTACTAGTAAGTAGTAACTAGAGTAAAAGAAGACCTGCTGCAAATTCTTTAAATGAGCAGTGGTAGCTTTTTGTCGCTTATGGGAATTCACCCTTTCCTCCTCACTATCATCACTAGCCAACTCCAATCCAACTGAATCAGCATTCCGTTCAAACCATGTTTTCTTGGCCTTATCCTGAAAAAAGAAAGTTCAACAAAAACAGAGATTAGCATTCAAATATCAGATACGGGAATACATTTTTGGGGTATTTTAACAAGTAAAAGCTTGTTACCCCTTATTTATTTGGACGGCTTTGAAGTGAAAGGGAGGGAAGTTAGGGAGTGCTATGTGGTTGCTTTTTTTTTGGGGGGGAGGGGGGATACATTCTTCTAGCCTACGCACATCTCACTTAAGAGTTATAGTTCTTAGTTACACCATTATATTCCAAATTCTGCTACATTGTTATTGTTAATTCAATTATTAGTATATGGTTTGTTATAGGAATACTCCAAGTATCAAATAATATAGAGTTATACGCATAAATGGTCCCCGTGGTCTTCAGTCCTCCATAATTAAGTAAATAGTCCTTGTACTTTTAAAAGTTGCAAAATAGTTCATGTGGTCAAAGAATTGATGCATAATCAGGTCTTTAAGGAAAATGTGAAGCACGCAGAACACATGCGTATTGTGTGAAAATGTGAAGCATGTAACAAAAAAAGAAGGTAATCAGATGAAACTGGCCTTGTCTTCGTAGTTAAAGGCAAGTAATGGTCTTTTCCCAACTCTTAAATCACACATATTACCCTAGAATAAAGCTACTTGAAAAGCAAACTAATGTCGAGCTCACATAGAATATAATTCTAGGATTCAAGAATACCACTGTTGAAGATATGAAGAAGTCGTGAGAGTTAAACCAAAAGATGGAAGATATTTTACTAAGATTCAAACTTACACATCACAAATGAAACATCATATTAGCTTTTTGTATTGTTACATGACTCACATCTTTATATGTTGTGCACATTTCACAAATTTTCTATTAGAGGGATTGATTTTGAAATGGTTCTTGGATCACAAGGACTATTTTGCAACTTATGAAAGCTCGATGACTATTTACCCACATATGAAAGACCACAAACACTATTCATGCATATAACTCAATATTATATTTTATTCCTTCTGTGCAGAAGTATTTGTCGAGTTTTGACTTTTTGCAATCAACTTCGATCGACAATTGACCTTTAATTGAATAAAAATACATGCTATATTAATTGGGTAAACAAATATTTTGAAAATATTTTACAAGATAAATCTAATAAAAATATTCTTTGTATCAATATCTAATTTAAATTTTATTTAATTAATGGTCCAAGTTTATCAATTTCAACGGCAAAAGGTCAAAACAGGACAAATACTCTGGGAAGAATGTAAGATGTGTTTTCCTATAATGATAATTCTTCAACACTCCTCCATTGAACCAAACATGACATCCTTTTGAATGCTTCCATTTTCCTCAACCCCCCCCCCCCCACACCACACATTTCTCCTCCCATACCTCCACCCTCTTGAACAAAACAAGGGCTTAAAGATTATTATGATTGCAATGAACTCCAGTAACTCTGTCTTTGGGAGTTAACTTGGTCATAGAAACAATAAGAGAACTACATACAGGTTTAATCTGCATTTAAAAATTTTGAAATAAGAGTGATTGCTTTAAATATAAGTACTCCGTATATGACAGGGTAAATACGCATTAAAAGCCAGCATGCATAATAAATGCTAGCAACGAGGCTTGAAAGCATGGTAGATTGAAAGAGCTCTGCAATAAGAACCTACACAATATATCACTCACCTGAGAGTCCTTCTTAAGAAATTTGTCTATTTGATGGGCAAGGGATAATCGCTTCACAACCTCTGGCATGTATGACATCACTACAGGAAATCGTTGGAAGCTTTCCTGGACCCAATTAATGCAGCACTCGTTACCAAATATTTCAACTTATTTTAGTTCTTTTTTATTGCTTGACAAAAGTAAAAGCCTCATAGATTGAATACAATTAAAATAAAAAAATAGAATGCCTGAACTTGCATGAGATAAATTGAGGGATACCGTTAAAGTCAAGAATAAAAAGTCTGAACTTGCATCAGAAAAAAATATAACCAAACACAAACTTAAATATTACTCTGTGATCCATCTACTCTTTTTATTGTAAAACAACAAATGACAAATCTGTCAGAAGATTCTCTCGACAGGGAAAAACTATAGTTAATCCTTATAGGATCCAACTTTGGTAAACTAGTGCAAGGCTGTAATCTATGACTCAAGTTCAATACGTTGAAAGGAAATGCACACATTATACAATTTTCCAAGAAAGAATTACCCTTGCAAACGACTTGCATAGAGAAGCAAACTTTGATGCATCATTTGGAGAGATTAGCGCAATACTACATCCGTCCGAGAAAGCTCTGGCAGTTCTTCCACATCTATTAACGTAAACCTAGCCCAACAATCCAGTTCATAAATATTTAAAAACTGTATCGCATGCAGATACATAGAGCAAATGGAAGCTTACCTCAGCTGAATGTGGAAGCTGGTAATGAACAACAGTTCGAACACCGGGAATATCAATGCCTCTGGCTGCAACATCTGTAGCAATAAGTATGCCACTTTCATCAACGCGAAAACGATCAATTGCCTGTATTATTCAAGGGTAAGAACAAACACCAAAGATTACAGAGTACATTTAATGTCTACATTACGAACAAAGGAAAAGGAGAGTGGAAAGGCAAAGTTGAAAGAAACAAATATAAGAACTATTAACTTTATGCCCTCTCTCACAGAGTGCGTGATGATATGGTTACTTAATAATTTAATATCCTAGGCCCTAAACTGATAGCACAATTTTGTAAATATGTCAAACCAAATATTTCCCTGATGCGGAATTCTACTGGGTTGTTGTTCTTGTTGGTCAAACCAAATATTTTTACTTGAAAGAGCCAACCTTAAGTCGTGCTTGCATCTGCATCTTGGCATGAAGTGTTGAAACATTGAGACCAAGAATGCGCAGTGTTGAGGCAAGATGCCTTAATGCAGCAACAGATGTACAGAAAACAATTGTGCGCCCTTTCCCATGAACACTCAAGATATAATAAAGATATCCATCTTTATCTTCTTCCGTGCACCTGCACCAAGATTTCATATCTTCTATGATCAGCCAATTATATGGAAACAATTTTTGGAAGATGCGAAGCATAATGGTTTAAACTGTAGGGGAAAATTTTCAGATCCTTGGTGTATATAATGGCTTTTCACTGAGTGTATCACGATTCACGAGCAACTTTAAAAGTAAACAGATAATTAGTAAAACTTCTTAGACAACAATTAAGTACAAGGCGGTCAAGATAAAATATGCAAGGTACTCCATTGACCAACACTTAAAAATGAGTGCAAAGGCAATGGCATCTTGAAAAGATGGTCAATTGCTGGATGAAATTCAATGCATAGCTAGAATAGTCATTTTTCTCCTATTCATTACTGTGATCATGCCATGCAAATGGCAAGCAGCACCAAAAAATATCACTTACTCAATGAGCGACTCCATAAGTTTATTTGCCATTATTGATGCATTAGTTAGGTCAACTATAGCAACATTTTCTCGCATTCCGACTCTCTCTGAAAGAGTTTCAAATGAATTTAGCTCGCCATCAAACTTTGACTTTTTTGAACTGTGCTTTAGTTTTTTCCGAAAATCGGCAGATAGGGCAAGGGTTGCAGAAAAGACAAAAGTTTGCCTTTTCTTTCTTTGAACACTTGAAACAGTTGTGCCATTCTGTGTTTCTGAAGAATGCCCATTAATTGATCCGCTGGACATGGGAAGCATATCAATTATGGACTGCAACTGCTGGAAGTGCCCAGCTTCTATCATACGGTCAGCCTCATCCAGCACAAAGAATGACAATGAATGTAGCTGAAAAAGCAAAATGTGTCTTCAAAATAAATTATCCTTCGTAGTGTAACAAGAATAATTGAACATTGAAAACTGGCATAAACTGTACAAGTAATGTGTAGAGAATGATACATCATTTGCTATTTTGACAATGTGGATCGAGGTGAGGATGCTTAAGTGGTTGGAGCACCAATATTTCTCCCACCCCCCCTCTCCCCTCTTTCCGTTGATAACAAAATATTTGGATTGAATGAGAAATGTGAAGTGTAATTTGTGGATGTTTAGAATGAAGGCCCAACTCAAATTGGAATAGTTTAGGTGCAGGAAAACCATGTTTTGTATTTAAAATACGGGAAGGTTCAAGTGACATTGGACCTCAATGTCATGGGATGACTCGGGGGCACTCCGGTGCCCCATTCGTAAAATTGACGGTTCCTACCCCCCTAACCCCCCCGGTAAACTCCCCCACCCGGCCCGGACCCGAACACACCCCCCCACCCCCTTCAATTGCACCCAACAAGTTGATTTTGACTTTGGAGTCAAATTTTGACTCCAAAGTCAAAATCAACTTGTGGGGTGCAATTGAAGGGGGTGGAGGGGTGTGTTCGGGTCCGGGCCGGGTGGGGGAGTTTACCGGGGGGGTTAGGGGGGTAGGAACCGTCAATTTTACGAACGGGGCACCGGAGCGCCCCCGGGTCATCCTATGACATTGAGGTCCAATGTCACTTGAACCTTGGTGTTTAAAATATGAGAAATGTATCATGATTGAGAGACCCCTTTAGCGAGAAGAAGCAAGGATTTGCAACTAGAAGTTTTCAATGGTGAACAAAGTCAAGTGAAGATATCTGGATAGGATGAGCATATAGGATTACAGAGAAAAAAAATTAGCTGACTACGTTTTTAGTAATGGTTCTGCAGATCTGCCATTATTTTAAGTTTTTGAAGCATACGAGTACACTATAGTCAACATGAAAACCCGTGACAGACCAAACACGTCACACGGAAATTCATCAATGCCCGACCCAGTGTCCCTGTCCATACATAATCAGTAAAAACTGAACCAGCCTAAAAAATCTAATGAGAGGATCCCACAAGCGTCGGACAATCCATAACTGTAACATTCTCCATGTGTTGTAGAAAATTTCAAGTTTGTTTTTTATACTAGTATGTCTTGAACTTGAATTTAGCATATTAAGCATGATAGTCAAACACTAGAGCATGAAAAAACAGGAATATTTTCAACATGAGCCAGGCATTTTCCAGAATGTAGCCTGAGTCAAACAGATAGCTCCTCGTTTATGTGGTTGCACATTGAGTAAGGAGCTGTAATGCACATTTTTGAATTTTAAAGAATTGAATACTTCAGAAGGTATAAAAATAAGGGTCAGCCAGGCTGCCATGCAATATAACTTAGCAAATGATATAGCATAAGATCGTACTGATATGATCGATAGTAACATCACTTCTCATTGAAAGAAGCTAAATCTCATATCCTTTTCTATATTTGGAAAAAGGAGCCATGGCACAAATACCTCAATACAATTAACACTTATTATAATTAGAGTGATGACTAACCTCTACAAGATGAATTTCTCCACTTGACATAAGTTCCCAAAGTCTCCCAGGAGTGCCAACAACAATTTCTGGTCTTCTTTTCAAAAGTCTTTCTTGCTTCTGAGTTGCCATACCACCAACAATTGCAACAACCCTTATATCGGTATGTTTTGCCACTGCCCTTATGTGATCTGAGATCTGAAGAAGAAGGAACACTTGTTAATTAAGCAATAGTAGCCCACATGCACCATATGGAATCACATGTACCTGAAGTGCAAGCTCTCTTGTAGGAGTTATAATTAGCGCCCGAAGAAGCTCTCTAGGAGCTATTCTTTCATCTACCTCTCCATTTGTTGCAGTAAGTCGGTCAGCTTTTTCTTTTTCTTCAAGAAGGCGTTGAAGAATGGGTAAACCAAATGCAAGTGTTTTTCCTGATCCAGTCTCTGCAGCACCTATAACATCCTGTTACAAAAGCTAACTAGCATTAATATTGACAAGGTGCTGTTTGTAACAACAAACCCAATTGCATCACGGGCACAACCTTTCCTTGATGAGCAGCAGCAGGAATGCAAGCTCTTTGTATTGGCGTTGGTTCTTTGAAATTCAGTCTCAGTATTGATTTCATAAGCAGGGGATGAAGTCTCAGTTCATTCCATGCACAGAACTCAATATCATCTACTAAATCCTCTTCTAAATCGCCTTTTTTGTTGGAAGCCGAAATTTGAACATGTCCAAGACAATCGTAAATTACAATACATCCCAGCATGGACATGATAGATAAAGAATGAATACAATAAATTGTACTCCATATATTTTTACACCATCAGTCAATTATACTCATTAACAGAATAATTCAAACTCATACAGAGTAATTAGCAAAACTAACCAGACATTGATCCTGTAATTTCTTTTGCTCTATTTGCCAGATTATCCTTGTTCTTCTTACTTCTTTTCTTTTTCTTTTGATTCTTTTCTTCAACATCTTTGTCTTCGGCCTCTTCACCATTTGAATCACTACGACCTTTAAATATTTTCTGCTTTTTTGTTTGTGTCTTCATCTTTGACTTTGGCTTCTCATTTCCTCCACTCAACTTTGACGTCTCGAATTCATATTTAACTTCATCAACCTCTTCCATCGACAAAAAGCCTAATTCATGCCAGCCAACCATAATAACGATTCCCAGAATATATATTATAGAAAGCACATACAGGCATACAATGAAGGAACATAAAGCTGATAATAAATGCAGGAAAGCATACCACTCATGTTTAAATGAAAAAATAGGTGGTGGCCCACATGCTTAAAATAAATAAATAAGGTTGCGTACTGTTGGCCTGATCTGATCTCATCTGGTTTGATCTGATTTAGTCTGATCTGATTGCAGTTATAATTAAAGCTATTTCTGATCTGATTTGGTCTGGTTTGGTCTGGTCTGATCTAGTTTGGTCTGATTATAATAAGAACAAGTAATAAACAGAAAAAATAAGTTGAACGGAACGCTACCAAACTCATTTAGAAATTATACTTCGTATATACCATTCATTAAGTATGGCACCGTGGGGGCAAAAACAAAATGTTAATAAAAGAATACAAACACCACACATATATACCTACAATGAATTTCTGGCTTTTATTATTTTATTACTACGTACATCTTTGGTGGGGGGCACCCCTTCAGACAGTAAGCCCACCAAACTATGGCCAGGAACCCATGATCACCACCACCTTAATTTCAACTAGTTGAGGTCAGTACATGAAATAATGTAGATTGATTATCACTTAAATTCATGCAATAAAAAAACATAGTACCAATATTTTACGGCTACTTAATTTAAGATTTCAAGTCCGTTTGGCATGGATGAATTTGGAAGAAATAACTTTTACTAAATTTGATGGTATCAAGGATAAAATAGAAAAAAGGCTAATTGAGTGATTATTCTAAAATTTGCATTTAAATTACTTTTTAAAGGAATTATAATTTTAAAATATGAATTGAGATGAAGGCAGGAGTGTCATTTATCTTCAATTTAGCCGTTTCATTTTTTAATGTGACATCCACACTACCATGGGTCTCTGTAGGAAACAGCTTCTCTACTTTCAAGGAGGGGTAAGATTTGTGTAAGCACACCCTCTCCCGACCTTACTCTCGAGGGATTCTACTGGGTTGTTGTTATTATTTTTATTAATGTTGTTTTTGTAGTTGACATCCACGCTACTTTTAAAATTAAGTGAAGCCTGACAATCCAAAAATCAGAGTGCCAAAAGTCCAAAAACTTTAAAATAAAACAAAAGATGCAAGAGGTCAAAGAAAAAATAAGAAAATATAGAATGCAATGCATAAAAACTTCAAAAGAAAACAAAAGATGCAAGATGCAACAAAACATGCTTGTTTACTATAACAATGTTCTAGAAATCCCAATAAATTCAGCTTGATTGAAAGCTAATTGATTATAATTGAGTTAAGAAAGCATCTACTGTGAATAGGCTGATATGGTCATTGTTCAGAGCTCAAGGAGAATGCAAAATCTGAAGCGAGCATGATTATCAACTCAGCATGTACAGCCTCAGAAGCCATGAAGTTGAAATAACAAGACAAATGTACTTCATAAAGCCTCCACTTTATTAAAAAGTAAACATATAAACAACTGACTTTTGATGCAATACACCATAAATTTTGACACCGTCAGTCAATAAAACTCATTAACAGAAGAATCAAAGCTCATAATTAGCAACACTAACCAGCCATCAATCCTTTATTTTCTTTTGCTTTGCTCGGCAGATTATCTTTGTTCTTCTTACTTTTTTTCTTTCTGTTCTGATTGCTTTCCTCATCATCTTTTCGGCCTTCGGCCTTTGAATCATTGTGACTCTCATCTATTTTCTGCTTTTTTGCTTGTGTCTTAAGCTTCTCATTTCCTCCACTCAACTTTTGAATCTCCAATTCATAATTTTCTTCGTCAATCTCTTCCAGTGATAAAAACCCTAGTGCATGATGAATTGAACAATAAGAGTTCAACAGAAAACGCTAAAACCAAGAAAAAATGTTTTGCTTTCCCTTTACCTCAGAGAATTTGTTAAAAAAATGACTGAACAAATAATTTAATTTGGATGAGTATAATAGATTCATTCAGATTTATGCGAAATTTATTTCATTTTTGTCTACTTCGAAAGCTTTAAATTGCAGGGGGGGAAATTCAAAATGCATATTAAAAGAAAGGAAAACAATGGTACCTCCTCCGAGTTCATTGGAACCTAAGAGAAGGTCGAGGGCGCCGTCGTTCTCAGGGAGAGAAGAGTTCCATGGAAGTGAATCGAGCTGGTAGGGTGGTTCAGACTCTACTCTGGCACGCTTTTTAGATCCTTTCGGCATCTTCCTGTGATCCAAAGCTTTAGAATAGGGATATCATAGTCACTGGAGAAGATTTAGGGATTCAATAAATCTAAAATTGAAAGAGAAAAACATCAATAAAACACAAACATTTACGAACTCAAAACTTTACCACCATAAACATTACCTCAAAAACCTGGAATTCTATTTTGACTGAGTTGGTTCGGCTGGCTAGGGATAGGCGGTGGATTCCGTTCCACAGTACGGACGGCCGGACTGGGGAAACCGGCGACGGCAAAGCGGGAACTCCGTGCGCCGGAAGTGACTAGGACTGCCTGCTTCTATTTTGGTCGCTCGGAACTTCATGTAGGCTTTTTGGTTCATGTGGTCATTAAAATATTGGGCTGGACCAAATTCGTGTCTTTAGTTTAGATACCCCAATTTAAGTTGTCGTAAAACTTTGATAATATTCTTACTCATTTTCGTTACTCGATAAAATAATATATTCTTATCATATTTTGTTTTGTAGATCTTTTGATATAATTTTTTATGATACACATTTAATTTTTAATTTCATGTTAATTTTCAAATAAATTTTATTGAAAATAATTCTAATCTGACCTCATAAACAATAAAAGACGATTTAAATTAGGACGGAAAGGATACGAAATATTTAAGTAATTAGTGTATAAAAAAGAGTAATTCTATGTATACACTCCACAAAGGATTGATCAAGGAATAGTTCTTAAATATTGAAGATCATGAACCTAATATCTTAATATTGGATAATATATAGAAATTTTCTCATTAAAAAGCTTCTACACATTGGGGGTCAATAGACTTATCATGACAAATGAGTCTATGCCTTTCTAAAATTGTACTACGGGTACGATAAATTGCGTAATATATACGGCACAATCGACTCTACGATATTTCATTTACATCTGTGGTGAGTATTCTTTTACGAGCAACTGAATACTTATTTTCAAATAACCAAATACTCATTTTCTAAAATTTAATCATACTCGTAATTGAGTATACAGTTATACTTGTTAACGAGCTTGAAAATTAGTGCCCAGTTACTTGAAAATGAGTATTCAAGTAGATGTACACAAAATATCATATGTTCAGATGTATGGTATATGTATTCGATAAATTGAGATTCATGAGTAACTCTTCATGTGAAATATATTATTACTCGTATATTTTTGGGTTAAATATATTTTTAGTCCCTATAAAATAAGTGATTTTGGCTTTTAATCATTCAAAAATATTTTTTATTAAATCATTCTTGTAAATAATGTATTTTGCAAGTAGTCCTTTCACTATTTATTTTAAATTAAGAGTTAGTGTTGAATTTTTTTAGTCCGGAGAAAATTAGTGATTTTGTTATTGATTTCTCTACAATATTTTAAATCCAAAGTAATTTTGTTTTTGGTCCCTTTTATATACCCTAACAAATTAGCTCTAAGTTGGTGGGAAGACTATTTGCAAAAACAAATTTTTTATAAGGATTATTTAATCTAAAAAAATTAGAGGAATTAAAGGCAAACACTCATTTCACAAGAACTAAAAACATATTTAACTCTAAATTTTTATGATTTTGTTGAGGAACAAGTTGCTCTTGTACGCTAGCTATCACCCAAAATAAAAGTTACTCCTCCCGTCCTAATTTTGATTACAATTTTATTTTCTCTCTGCTCTTGATAAATTTTATTTATTTTTGTGTTTTCATTTATTATTTGATAAAAAATACTCTTGTCACCTCTTGTTTTGTAAAACTTTTGACATAATTTTTTAATATGTAATTTTTATTTTTTTTATTGATGTACGAATTTATAAATGAATAATTTCAAAACTCGTGAAATTTTACCTCGTAATTCCCAATTTGTAATCAAAATTGAGACGGAGGAAGTATAAAACACATATATCTTTTTCTCTATTGTTGCAAAGAGACGTCAATTTCATTTTGCTAGCTATTTTTTCACTGCAGAAATATCTTGAATAAATGTTGTGCAACTTATGAACGTGCATATACCAGATATACAATAAACATATAAAAAAATTAATATAGTAATTTGATTTATTTTATTTTTTTTTGCAATTTCATTTATCTTTAATTGTTTAGGAGTGATGCAATTATTAAATATGCATACATCAATTTCAAATAAGGAAACATACAAAATGATTATCTTTCTTTTAAAAAGTAAATGGACACACAACAAATCTACAATAGACACAATTTTAGTTATGCAATGCAATCCCATTAACTAACACAATAAGACAAAATTTCAGTTATAAGGTTGTCAAATGATTTATCTTGAGCACAAGAATCCTTGACAAGAGCTTCCCATGATTTCAAATCAAACCCCTTTTTCTTCTTCACCATTTCCTCTAAAATGAAGCTCACATCATCAACCTTCCCAAGCTCTAACAAGCCCATCACCAGATAACAAAGTGTTTCGGTGCGTGGAAAGTGCCCGCTCGTCGACATTGCATTGAAAACCTTCAAAGCTTCTCCGAAATCCCCAGTCTTGCAGAACCCATCAAACACCATTCTGTATGTGGCTGCAACAGGTCTGCAACCTGCAATTTGCATGTCAACTAAGACTCTGTAAGCTTCGTCGGCTCTATCTTCTCTGCAAAAGTAACTGATGAACACGTTATAGATCGCAGCATCTGGTTTGATGTGCCTTTTCTTTATCTCAACCAGGAGACGTTTCGCCTCTTCTATCTCTCCCCTCTTTGCGAGGTCACAAATCAAAACACCATAGTTAAGAACCCGAGGCTTACAGCCCCGGTATTCCATATCAAACATCATCTTCTTGGCATCATTGAACCTCTGCAAAATGCAGAGCCCTTCCATCAGCAGAGCATAGGTGACCTCATTCGGCTTCTTCCCTTTCCTCACCATGTCCTCAAACAGAAGCTTTCCCTCTTCAAACTCGCCCCTTTTGCACAAGAACCCGATTTGAGTATTGTATGTCACGACAGTGGGCTCAACTTCTCTCCCAAGCATTTCATCGAACACCTCACGGGCGTTTTTGGGTTCGCCCTTCTCCAAATACATCTTGATCATGATGTTGAAAGAAACCGAATTGGGGCGGAACCCTAACCTGCTAGAATCCCTAAACATGTCATGAGCTTCGCAGTACCTCCGATTCTCCACCAGCACATTGAGAATGGCATTGAAGGACTGCAACGAGCGGAAACAGTTGAAAGAGACATCCATCTCGTGGAAAAGATGAATCGCTCTATCCACAAACCCACATTTCCCATAGTGCCTGATCAGCCCGACGAAGAGGCTCTCCCCACAACGGATATTGTGAGCTTTGAGGCGAACGAGAAGGGTATCCACGCCATTGAAGCTCCGGAGCTTCGCGAGCTTGTAGATTGCAGAGGAGTATGAAGGGTAGTCGTGCCTGGAGCCCGTCGACCGCTGGTAGTCGTGGAAGAGGGAGACGACATCTTCAGCTACATTGGTTTGCTTCAGATCTGCGATGAATGGTATTGGCTTGCGCTTGAAGATCTTTCTCCGGCGTTCTTGAGGCGAACGGCTGCGAGTATGATATGATGGAGACCTCGAGGGAACAGAATTGCAGGAATTGAGGGTTGAGATCCTGAACTTGAAGAGTTTTGATTGCAGATTGATCATGGAGTCCGAAATCCCAATGGAGGTGTTTGTGCTATTCTCACTGGTTGAAGTAGAATTGTAATTAAATTATGTTAATTCTAATTCCAATTCTATAGTTTGAATTGGAATTAAAGACCCCAATTCCAATTCTATAGTTTGAATTTCACGTACCAAACGGTCAATCTCCCTCATGAACACATTGTTTTGGCAAGAGGCTTTTAGCCTCCCACTTTATAGTGCCGCTCGAGAAATATTGTTGTGCTATCCAAATTAAATTAAAAGTATAGATTAAAAATAAGAAAAATGCTAGGAGTACACCAAATGTGTACCCCATTTGTCCCCCACCCCCTCCTTGTTCACAACAAAAAGGCAAGAAATTTAAAAAAAATAAAAATAAAATAAAAATGGGTGGTGGAGAATGGGGTGGTGTGCATTTGGGGTAGCATTGCTCTAAAAATAAATATAGAATTAATACCTTGAACTAACTTCCATAATATTCATTTAAACATGGCTAGGGCAATCAAGGGTCGGTCGCACTGAAGAAAAGTATTGTAATTTTAAAAAAAATCAATTTAGCTAACATGTCACAAATAAAAATAATAAACAAATAAAATTACTAAACTACTAGACTTATGTTCATTGTATGCTCTGAATGATTCATTACGAGGGAGCCTCTGACCGAATAAGAGGCTGTGTTGTTTGGTTGAAAATATTGACACCTCTGAATGATACGGAGTACTATACAGCACTACTCCATTCAGTTATTTACGGTCTCTTAATAAAAATAAAGACCCCTGCTACCCTCAATCCCTAATCCGGTTTTGCATCCACCTTTCCTTTTATCGGCATCTGCTCTCCATTGCTGCTCCCCCTCTACACCTCCGACCTCCTCTCATCCTCTCTTCCCTTTCTTTTTCCCTCTCCTCCGCACCCCTGCACCCGTCGCCCCATCCGTCCCCTTCCTCCCTCAGTCGTCCCCCTCCCCCTCTGCACCCTCTGACCTCCTCTCCTCTCCTTTTCTCTTCCCTTTCCTTTTCTCGCTCCTCCACACCCCTGCGGGTTCCGCCCCATCCATCGCCTTCTTCCCTCTGCATCTCTGCACCCGCCTCACCCTCTTTCCCTCTCCTGTGTCTCGGTGCTTCCTCCCTTCTCTGACAGGTACCTTTTTTTGTTATTATTAGTTATTTGAACTTGTTATTGGTTTGTTGTATGTTGATTGTTATTGATTGTTATAGTATTGCTGATAGGGGTGGACACGGTACGGTTCCGGGACGGTTCCGGTTCCGGTACCGCCACCCCTTGGTACCGGTACCGGATCGGCCGGTACCGGTTCCGGTTCCGGTACCGGCGGTTCCGGTTCCGGTACCGTTTCGGCCACCCATAATTTCTTTTTTTTTTTGCTTTTTTATTAAATTTTTAAAGTGTAGAATTGTAAATGTGTAATTGTTAAAAGAAAGGATGAAATAAAAAACTCTAAAATGAAATTAATAAAGGAAAGAATGAAATAAAAAATAAAGACAAAAAAAATTAATTACGGTACCGGAACCGGAATCGGTACCGCCGGTGCCGGTACTGAAAAATGGGCACCGGAACCGGTACCGGAGTGGGCGGTACCGGTTCCCGGAACCGGTGGACCGTCCCGGCCGACGGTAATGGTACCGGTACCGGCGGTACCGTTTCCGGTCACGGTACCGTACCGGTACCGTGTCTACCCCTAATTGCTGATTGTTGTATGTTGATTGTTATTGATTGTTTTTGTTGAATGTTGAAA